CTGAGGCATACACCGAGACCCAGTAAGGATAGCACAGATTGAGTTGTACAATTTGGGGATGCAGATGCAAATGCATGGGAAATGCATGATCATTCAAACTTGACACTTTAAAACTTGACACATTTATGTAATATACTTATTTAAAATATTTGTATTTAGCTACATTATCAATGTACTATAGACATCAAACTTGTGACCATACTAATAAAGTCATTAAAAAGAGCGCTAAGGGAAAACTGTGTACCAAGCATCATGTCCTGAGAGCTAAGGAATTTAGGGAAGCTTCTCTCTGCAATCCAGGGACCAGAGGCAAAGAAAATGGTAGGTAAGTCTTCATACCAGTCCAAGGCATTGTTTATGGTATCTTGAAATAGCTACAAACCACTAGAGGGTAGGGTTAAGATCATTGGGGCAACTCCAATAGAACTGCAAGAGACATCCAAGAACATCTAGGCTTATCCTCCTTTTACAAATGAGAAAACTAAAACCTGTGGAAGGAAAAGATCTTTCTCAGAAAGACACAGCTGGTGACATAATACATTGGGCATGGAGCCCCTACCCACTTGCATGTGTGTTCTCGCTCTTAAAAAAAAAAAAGAAATTGAGTCTTCAAAAAATTGCAAAGCCAACTGTCTCCTGTAGCTGTCCCTGCTCCCACCTTTCAGCCCCAACTGCAGTCTTGACCGGAGTCTTGGTCATGACTTACCTCCTGAGCCCCAGTAGGTCCAGCCTCACACTCAAAGCAGCCAGACCACCAGTCCACACAGCTAGATGGCAATGAGAAATATACTGAGTTTTGCCACAGTTAGTGTCAGTAAGGGCATGATAGATGGAGCTTGGGACATTTTCCATCAACATTTACAAAGAAATTTTCCTGAAATGTGTTAAAAATTACCAACAGGACAACGACTTACCAATGAATGGAACAAATACCTAAACTGTGTACTTCAATGCCACACCATGACTAGAATGGCAGGAGGAGGAGGGGACCAGAAAGACCAAACATGTCTGCAGATTGAATCCCCACTTTGGCGAGCAGACTGCACAGCAACCAACAAGGAAGGGATTCTCTTGGCAGGGAAGTGGGGGCAGTACAGAGTTAACATCCCTTCTGTTTTGGGAAGACCTCTTGAGAGCCTAGAGTTCTCTCTTTCTTGACCTTTGTCCCAAATCCATATTGCCCTTGACTCTGGCCCAATAAGGACTTAGATCCAGTGCCAAGATGGTGGGTCCTTGAAGCACTGGGGAATTTGGACAAAGAAAGAAGGTGTTAGCACTACTATTAAGCACTTGGAAGACTAGTATAGGGATTAAAAGCAGAATTTGGGATCAGGGAAAACTAAATCCAAAAGATTTATTTATTAGCCTAGGGGCTGGAGTACACAGAGGGAGAGGGAATCTCCAGTAGTCTCCAAGCTGAGCACGGAGCCCAACACGGCTCAATCTCACCACCCTAAGATCATGACCTGAGCTGAAACCAAGAGTCGGATGCTTAATCGACTGCACCACCCAGGCACCCCACAATCCCACTTTACAGTGAAGGAGAGCAAAGCACAGGGAAGTTAACTTGCCCAAAGGCACACAACAGTAATAGTGTAAGGATTTGGCCAGGTGATACAATTCCAGAACTCACACTCTACACCCCTATCCTAACCCGTAGCAAGGACTCATTAATGAGAAACCATTGGGGATGCCTGGATGGCTCAGCCTGCCTTTGACTCAGATCGTGATCCTGGGATCCCGGATCAAGTCCTGCATCAGGCTCCCTGCATGGAATCTGTTCTCCCTCTGCCTGTGCCTCTGCCTCTCTCTCAGTCTGTGTTTCTCATGAATAAATAAATCTTTTTCTTAAAATGAGAAACTTTTTCATTCCCAATACCTATTATGCTGCCTGTCACATAGTAGATGCTCAATAAATAAATGTTGAAGGACCGAATTCTGGGATAGCCAAGTGGAAACTTCTTGAGGAAACTCGAGGTACAGACTTAGTATGAAGTGAGAGTTGTAGATAAATGATTCAGGATTCCACAGGATTAGAGGGTCATCTGAAGTCCTGACAGATGACTTCTGTCTTATGCAGCATTCTTTCCAAGAAAGTCAATACAGATAAAAATTCCACCCTCTGCTGTTCATTCAACTGCCCCTCTGCCCTCAGGATGCCACCGACAGACAGGTAATAGGAAAAGACTACCTCAAAAGACTTAAGAAATCCACTACTGATACAACAATACTCATTTTCTCATTTGGAGGTCAGTGTCTGCAATCCTGTTTTGACAAGAATTTCACCAAGACGTAAATACTCCATTTTTATTAGAAGCAAATTTCTAATAAAATTATACCTACCATTTCCTAAAGTAGGAATAGTGTTTCAAAAGAACAATAAACCACAGCTTTGGGGACAAACAAGTCTATGAATTAATGAAGTTTTCCAAACACCCATGCAAACCTTTAGCTTGGAGTGACAGTTACTATACTGCAAAGTGGGTTCGTTTCTTCGATCACAACCACTGAGTGTGGATGACCTTGTATGTTCTATTATCAAGCTAAATTATGCTCAAAATCTAATTTTGATTAAAATCTGATTAGCAGAGTATTACCAAATAGTACAAAGGGGTTGGAGATCAGCTAGGCACAATGGTTCTCAAAAGACACTTTCCTTTGAGACATTTATTCAATATCAGCCTAAGGGGTAACTTGTTAGAAATGCAGATTCTTGGTGCCTGTCTCAGAACTAATGAACCTGAAACTCTGGTCCACACCCAGGATCTGTTTCAACAAGCCCTCCAGGTGGTTCTGATTCTTGCTCAAGCCTGAGAAACACTAAGCCAGAGAAAAACCCAAAGTTCTCAATTTTCAACTAGCTATGAGACCTTAGACAAATCACTTAACCTATGTGTGCCTAATTTTTCATCCATCAAATGGAGATCATATTGGTACTAATTGTCTTAAAGCAATGTTATGAGGTTCAAATGAGGAGGGGAGGAAATGCAAGTGATTTGAAAAATGTGTTAACGGTATATATGATACTGTTACGAAGATAAAAATTAAAAATGTGGAAGGTGCTCTAACACCAAACTACTCAGGCCCCATCCCTGACCTCATAAATTAGAATCTGCTTTTTAATAAGAGCACAGGCAATTGAGGTGGGCAAAGTACTACACAGGGGTCAGGTGTTACTGGTACGGGGCAGGTGCAGTCATGGGCCAAGCCAGAAGGGCCCCTCTGTTCCACACCTGAGCTTCTCTCCGCTGGCCATCTGACAGTTGATCAGATATGTAAATGTTCCGGAAAAGTTCCAACTTTAAGAATTTAGGGAGGTATCTGTGAAGTGCTACTGTAGTGAGACAATTCCTAATGAGCTGACTCCTTACCACCTGTCCTTAATTCAGAGATTATAAAAACATGTCAGTCATATGCTATTTTAGTCACTCCTTTTGTAATTGAACGTCAAACAAAATCATCTCATTGCCTCAAAAAATGAAATGGGCCATTCACAGCAACCAATTAAAGGATCAGATCCTACAGAAATTTAAAAGTCTACCTTTTTTTATACTTAAAACTATAGGGGTTATCCAACTTTCAAGTGACTGTTAGAAAGCATATGTTCCTTTTATCATCTTGTACGAATTAAAATAAGGGAAGAGGAGGATGGAAACTATTCCCTAACGTAATATTTTTTTTTTTTAAGAAAAAGATTCATTTATTTAAGTGAGAGAGCACATGAGCACGCAAGCATGGCGGGGAGGAGCAGAGGGAGAGAAAGACAAAGTCTTAAGCAGACTCCATGCTGAGTGCAGAGCCCAACACAGGACTCAATCTCACAACCCAAGATCACGACCTGAGCGGAAACCAAGAGTCAAGCACCCAACCGACTCTGCCACCCAGGTGCCCCTCCCTAATGCAATATTCTGAGCTATTTGCATGTCCAGTGGCTTTTATAGTCCGGCAAGTTTGGGAAGAAGTACAGCAGCTCCCCCTAACCCATCCCAGGGTGGATGCCTGAAGCCCTGGATAGTATCAAACATAGTATACTCTGTTATTTTCCTACCATACACGTTTATGATAAAGACTAATTTAGAAATCAAGCACAGGGGATCTCTGGGTAGCTCAGCGGTTTGGCGCCTGCCTTCAGCCCAGGGCGTGATCCTGGAGTCCTGGGATCGAGTCCCACATCGGGCTCCCTGCATGGAGCCTGCTTCTCCCTCTGCCTGTGTCTCTGCCTCTCTTTCTCTCATTAATAAATGAATAAAAGAAAAAGAAATCAGGCACAGTTAAGAGAATAGCAACACTATACAACAATATGCTGGTTATGTGAGTGTAATCACTCTCAAAATATTGTCTGGTATTTACCCCTCTTGTGATGTGATGAAATGTCTATGTGATCAGATGAAATGAGGGGAGGGACGTAGGTGCTGTGACAATTGGATACAATTAGGATACTACTGACCTCTTGACTTCCTGACAACTGGTCTGAAGGAGGATCATCTTCTTCCCAACTGCAGTTGACCATGGGTCATTGAAACTTGAAAAAATGAAACCATGGATAAGATATTCCAGATCCTGGCTCACAATTTCTAAGCCCTGGCTTTCCATGGAAACCATTTGGGGACCTTTAAAGGAAAAGTAAGGTGCTTGATTTAGTTGGTCTAGACTGGATCCTGGGCCTGGCTGTTGTTGGTCAGCTCCCCCTGCAATTTGAGTGCAGCCGGCACTGAGTGAGCCGGCATGCCTAATGGGAGGCCGTGAGAGGACTGGAAGAGTTGACCCCTATTTACAGGACTGAACTGTATTGACCTCAAATTCATACGCTGGAAATCTGAACCCCATCATACCTTAAAATGTAACCATATTTGGATATATGGCCTTTAATTAGGTGAATAAGTTATATTAAAGCCATTAGTGTGGGACCTAATTCAATTTGCCTGGTATCTTTATAAGTACAAGAAATTTGGACACATAAAGGACACATAAAGAAAAAAAAAAAAAAGATGTCCATGCAGAGGAAAGAGTATATGAGGACACAGCGTAAAGGTAACCACCTGCAAGCCAAGGAGGCATCAGAAGGAAACCAAAACTGTGGACAGTGACAAGGAGCATGGACTTCCCTGCCTCCAGAAATCTGAAAAATTTTGTGTTAAGCCAGCCTGTCTATAGTATTTGGTTGTGGCAGTCCTAGCAAGCCAATACATTCCCTATCTCAAGCCCAAGTTTTTTGTTGTTTCTCTAAAGATTTTATCTATCATCTATCTATTTATCTATCATCTATCCGAGAGAGGGAGAGAACAAGAAGGGAAGCGGGGCAGAGGGAAGGGAGAAGCAGGCTCCTCACTGAGCAGGGAGCCTGATGTAGGGCTCTATCCCAGGATCCTAGGATCACAACCCAAGCCAAAGGCAGACATTTAACTAAGCCACCCAGGTGCCCCTCAAGCCCAAATTGTTGTTGTTTTTTTTAATATTTTTTATTTATTCATGAGACACAGAGAGAGGCAGAAACATAGGCAGAGGGAGAGATAGGCTCCCTGAAAGGAGCCCAATGTGGGACTTGATCCCAGATCCTGGGATCACGCCCTGAGCTGAAGGCAGACGCTCAACCGCTGAGCCACCCAGGCATCCCAAGCCCAAGTTCTAAAAGCATCCTCACATCCAAATGCGTGTGAGACCTACAGACTAGATCTTTCCCCTTTGTTTACACCTCCAAGAGAAGCAGAAGTTGACACAAGCGATGGAGGCAAATGGAGAAGCATTCCAGATATAAGCCCTTACCAGATGGTCAATAGGCAAAAATTCTACTTTCGGAGGGAGTTCATATTTCAGTGTAGAAGCCAAAGAAGCACAAGACAGCTTTAAGATGACACAAAGGGGGGGAAAATCACTTCAAACATCAATTCAGTGGGCTCCCTTCATTGACTCTACTGAAAAGTCTCCTGCAGTCCCCTGGGCTTCTCCTTCACAGCACCTATCACAATTTAATTATTAATTTCCTGTCGATAATAAGCACATGAGGACACAGACTCTGTCTTGACTTGTTCACTGATTTGTTCACAACTACTTGGCACATATTTGTTGAATGAATGAACACTTCTAGCAACTACTAGCAGAGAAGATACCAAAAAAATTAACAAATTTAGTTGATGAAATGAGTTAACGAATAAATAAGTGAATGAAAATGTGAGTCGACTGAGCATTGATTGGATGCTTGTGTTTCAAATGCATGTTAAATGCTTTCAAAATTCAGTTCCAACTATATTTCATCATAGTGATTACTCAAGAGGAGACTTCTCCCCTAAATAATTTGGTCAATTCCACCTTTCTGCTAGATGCTTCAGTTCTAAGTACAATCACATGCCTTGTGAATCATTCAGCAAATCTGCACAATAATGCTATATGTTGGGGCACCCGCCTGGTTCAGTCGGAAGAGCATGCCACTCTTGATTTCAGGGTTGTGAATTCAAGCTCCAAGCTGGGTGTAGAGATTACTTAAATAAGTAAAATATTTTTAAAGGCATGGTATGTGTACATGTGTATATACACACATAGGTGTATATTCATTCCACACACACACACATATATATACATACATGCTTCATGCATCACCACTGGTTTCATCTTTGATTCAGCATAAGGCTTTGATGGTGACTCATGTATCAACCTCACAGGGGCAGAGTCCCAGTCCACACCCACACTCATCCCAGTTCAACCCCAAAGACTCATACGTGATATGCAATAAAGTTTCTAAACAAGACCTCTTGTATTTCTCTGTTGGGAACATGGGGTGGGATATTTGCAGTTCAAAGTCACGAACAAAGCAGGTTCCCCAATTCAGAGGTTTCACATCCCTAAGGATCCCCGTTTTATTCAGGCTGGACTATTTGAACACCAGTTTCCAAATCTTTGCCGGGTCTGGGAGGAGAGATTTCTAAGGACCAATAATTCATATGCACATCTCTTAAAGACTCAATAAATAATTCCCAGGTTATCTCTTCTGGTTTCTGTGAACCAGTTTAAATGTTACAATTGTCTTTATTTTAAAAACCCAAATATTTTTTCTTGGAAAATCCAGGTATAAAAAACCAGCAGGCAATGGCCAAATCTTCTTCAGTTTATACATTGTGGTCAGCTTCCCACTCTGGCTAATGGCTTGAATTCCCCCTCCTGGGAAGCTCAGAAAGGTTCAGGTGTCATGGAAGAAGCTGCTCCATCTTTATCTTTTCATTCGATTGGTGTCTGGCTGCCGCAACAAACATCACGCCTTTGGATTCTCTTCTTGAACTGAGCGCCTAAATCGCAGGTCTAGGTTGGACCCGGAAAAGAGAAGTTAGCACAAATGCACACACTGCCTCATGTCTGTGAGGGAAATATCAAATTCAAGATCCCATGGCTTCTCATACCTCCTGCCTTCTGTTAAGTTTCTACAATTTTCCCCTTGAACTCCCATCATTGGGTGTCATCAGTAAATGCTACCCCAAAAAGATGAATGGGTTTGTTTCCTCCCCAGTATTCATTCCCTTCTGACCTCAGCTCCAGATTTTCCTTGGGAAGCCACCCTTTCTCATTCTCAGTCTCTGTGATCTGTTTGGTTGTAGCACCTCTATCTACAGATCTCTGATCTGGCTGATGAAATCATCACATTTTCATGGCCGTGGCAATTGGTTCACAGATGCGCACATCACCCAGTCAGATCCAATGAAACACATCAAGAATTCTGGGCCTCTCATTCTTTCCCACTAGACTTCCATCTGAGAAAGTACAAGAGGCTGATAAAAGTGTGTCTTGCAATTGTTAGGAAGAGCCTTTTCAAGAAAGGAGCTAACATAGAAAAGTATGGAACAGAAAGAAACCAGGTTCCGGTAACATATTGTGAGTCTCTGCTTCTGGTAACACCTAAAGCAAGAATTATTCTTGGATTTTTGCTAAAAACAGCTTCGGTTGGTTCTTTTAATTGACAGAGTAACTGATACATGAAGTGGTTCTGACCCTCTTCCAAAACCAAATGATTTTGGTTAAAGTAGGTCTCCTTCAGTGCCGGTTACTCACCAAAAGCAGCATCATGTTCTCTGACATACAAAGCTCCTGGTTGCTGAAAGGAAATAAAACAGGTGGTCTCATCACTGGAAAGGAATGTAGACTCGGGTCCTATTGCATAGTTGGTGGGATTTGTGAACTGCCACCATTTTAAAATTAAGATGTGACAGATGAAAACCAAGGCTTGGCCATAGACATAGCAAACATGCTTTGTTGGTCTTTTAGGGAAAGTGATTCTATTAATTTATTCATTCATTTCACAGACATTTACTGAAAATCTACAATATGCCAGGTAATATATCAGGACCCAGGGCTGTAAGGGTACAGACAGGGTCTCTGCCTGCACAGGAACTAGAGTCAGACCTCTAGACCCCATATCTACATCATGCTGATGGTATTAATTTGCACAAGTAGTAAATGGCATGGCAGTCTCTACTGACAAGATCCTAACTTCCAAAACTAGTAGCATTTGAATTATGGTGGATTTACTGTCTATCCATATTTTCCAGAACACCAAAGAAGCCAGCAAGAACTTTGGACTTATGGCAGGGTTTCAGACATGTCTTATATCCTCTTGGTAGGCATGAAATTGATAAAATCTTAAGAGCATGATATGGTAATATCTATTAACAGTATCATGTACATGCTCTGTGGCAAAAATACTCACATAAAAGCAATTTAATACAAAAATGTTTCATTATACACTGTTTTTAGTATTAGAAACAAAAAAACTAGAAACCACCCAAATGTCCAAATACGTACAGACTGAAACAATGTTGGAAATACAGTATTGTGATGAGGGATGGAGTTAGGATACTATGTGTATAGTACAGCCCCACTTTCCTAATAAATGAATAAACAAAAGTGCTAGTATATGCATGTATATTTGCAGATGCCTTCAGGAAAAGATCTGAAAGAGTTATACACTGAACCATTAACACAGTGGAGGGAGATTTCAGGGTATTTTCCTTCTCTGTGGGATGTACTTCTGGTTGATCGGACTATATAAAGGATGTGTTCAAGCCCCATGAGGGCCTTTGCTATGACAACCCCATCACAGAGAAAAAGTGTCAGCATGGAAAGGGTGGAATAGGGACGCCTGGGTGGCTCAGTGGTTGAGCATCAGCCTTCAGCCCAGGGTGTGATCACAGAGTCCTAGGATCAGGTCCCACATTGGGCTCCCTGCATGGAGCCTACTTGTCCCTCTGCCTGTGTCTCTGCCTCTCTCTCTCTCTGTGTGTGTGTGTGTGTGTGTGTCTCATGAATAAATAAATAAATAATCTTTTAAAAAAAGAAAGGGTTGAATAAATACTATTTGTTAAATAAAAAATACAGAAATGTTTAAACATAGAAAGTGAAGTGTCTTATGTTATTCTAGCTTCCTAATGCACATTTCACAAGGAGGCAGGTTTGTGTCACAAGGAACCCAAGGCAACCCCCAGTCTCACCTCTACATCTCTCCTTTCCTGTGTGAACGAGCTGGTGTTTGCTCTCTTCTCCATATCCTGCAGTTTGGTCAACTTTTCTATCAGGAACATTTTATCTTTGCCCTCCTGCCAAGACAGAAAACCAAAACAAGAACAAAAACATGGGGGATGGTAGGAGGTTGAAAAGCAAATGATGGAATGAAGGTTGGATTTTTTAGGCAGGTAGAGTCCCAGACATAGAAGAGAGACTGCCATCATGTTTTCTTGCTTGCTTTTTCTGTTTTAAGATTGATTGATTGATTGATTGATTGATTGATTTGAGGGTTGGGGGGAAGGGCAGAAGGAGAGAGAATCTTAAGCAGACTCTGCTGAGCGTAGAGCTTGATCTCATGACCCTGAGCTCAGGGAAATGAGTTGAAACCAAGAATTGGAGGCTTAACCAACTGGGCCACCCAGGTGCCCTGGCTTTGTTTTCTCTTAATGAAAGAGAAGAAATATTTCACAGCACAAATTACCCGCCACAGCCTTCCTGAATTGTACCATCTCCTCTAAAGCAATTCTCCTAGCAGGCTTGAATAAGCAAGCCTTCCATCCTGCTGCTAGAAGCAACTTGATGCCACTGTGTGAAGGCCCAGGACAACTGGTGTATAATAGCTCCCTTCTTGGCATGCCCTCAGTCTCAGAACACTGGGCACCAACATCGCTGCCCTGTCCTCCCACTGAGAATGTCAAAGCTCACAGCTCTGCATCTGGGGACATCAAATATATTTGTCAAAGTTATCAGTGTCAATGGAGTAGACCTAGATGAAAAATTCTCAAATTGGGGAGGAGAACAAAGGAAGGGGGTACATCCTACCAGGAGTGAGAATCACTTACTGGTGAATCTGCTGCAGATGAGAGGGTGGTATATTCTACTAGTGTTGAAGTAGGCTAGCAAGTGCCATTGATGGTCTGGCCAGTCTAGATCAATTCCTTTTCCCATGCCCATGTTTCTCCTTAGACTGTCACCCACGAATTTAAGCATCCAATAATTATATAATGAAGCTATCATATTTGCTTCATAATAATTTTCTATTTCCCTCATTCTTTCTACATTTCTTCACTGGAATCCTGCAAGGAAGAGCTGTCCTCGGGAAGTGGCATTTTAAACAAATTCGCTAGCTGTCTTGGATATAGCCAACTTGTTTGAAAATTACTGGTCTCTAGCAGCTGTTTCCATACTCTAGTGCCAGTGAGAATTATTTAGAGAGCTTGCAAAAATGCAAACTCTTAGGATTTATCCAAAAGATCTTGACTCAGGGAGGCAAAGCTGCATTGTAGCTAAGAGTACAAATTTTGAAATTGCCCAGTTCAAATCCCACCATTTACTAGCTCTGTGACTTTAGGCAAGTCACTTCACTCTATAAGCCTCAGTTTCCCTAATTTTAAAATAGGGATTAAAGATGTATATGACCCCAGAGAGAGTAATAAAAATTAGTCTGGGTTCTTTTAGAAACAATGAACCTGCCTCTGTGGTGCAACCTCTGGGTAAGACTCCCAACCATGTAGGCCTGTGGTGATCCTTCTGGTGCCTCTCTGAAATGATGTCATCTAAATTCCTCCTCACTTTACTTGGTACTTCCCTTAAAACATAAGGTTTTAAAATCAAATACTTCCCCTGTTAAGATTTTCTTTTTTTTTTTTTTTTTAAGATTTTTTTAATTTATTCATGAGAGAGGCAGAGAAATAGGCAGAGGGAGAAGCAGGCTCCATGCAGGGAGCCCGAAGAGGGACTCCATCCTGGAATTCCAGGATCACACCCTGAGCCAAAGGCAGACACTCAACCGCTGAGCCACCCAGGTGTCCCCTGTTAAGATTTGCATAAGACTTGCCCAAAACATTCAAAGTGCTGCATCAGAAAACTACAAGTGGTCCTTGTAGGGACAGGCAGAAAAAAAGAACATAATTAATCCATGCCCTTCCTTTATACCATATAAAGGACCAACCCAAATGATCTGAAACCCCAAAGATTCAAGCAGATAGAACCCTGGGGAATCCTGCTTCTTTCCCATATTCTTAGATGTAAGTGTTCATGTCATAATTATATTGGTATTTAGAAGAAAAGGGAACCAGCCCAGTGGCAATAAGCATCACTATTCCCAGACTGTGGTCTCTAAATGCCATTTCACCAGGATTCCTTGAATAAATGTCTGATTCATGTTCTGGGGCAAGGTAATGAACAAGAAGAGCCTTGAACATCTTGTCCTTCCAGGAGCAGGTGAGCTATCAAAGACTTCTGGGGTCATGTCAAAAGAGCCCAGGAGCTAATCCAAAAGGATTTCCATTAGCAAAGGATGAGACTATTTAAGCATGAACAAATTATTATAATTTTTAAAAATATTTTATTTATTTGAGAGAGAATGAGCATGAGTAGGGAGAGTGGCAGAGTAAGAGGGAGAAGCAAAGTCCCAGCCGATCAGGGAACCCAATTCAGGGCTCGATCCCAGGACCCTGGGACCATGACCCAAGCTGAAGGCAAGATGCCTAGCCAACTGAGCCACCCAGGCACCCCACAAATTATTATAATTGAAAGATGTCAAAGTATACTCAAATCTATGAATTCATAATGATAATTTTAAAATCCTCACTGGCCACATTTGGAGGTTGCTAGATATGACAGGTTGAATAGTATCTCCCTTTTAAAAAGATATGTCCATGTTATCCTACCTAAGTACCTGTGAATATAACCTTGTTTGGAAATGAGATCTTTGCAGACATAATTAGAGATTCTGGAATGAGATCTTTCTGGATGAGGATGAGCCCTAAATTCAATGACAAGTCCCTAGAAGAGAAGGAGAAACAACAAAAAAGAATTTGTGAAGGTGAAGGCAGTGACAGGAGATACGAAGCTACGAGTCAGGAAACAGCTAAGTTAGCCTGTGGCCCCTACAGGAAGCTAGGAGAGGCATGGAACAGATTCTCTCTCAGAGCTTTGGAAGGTACCCTGCTGAAATCTTGATTTTGGACTTCTGGCCTCCAGAACTGACAGAGAATAAATTTCTGTTATTTTAAGCCACCAACTTCGTGATTATTTGCTATGGCAGGCCCTAGGAAACTAATACAGACTGGGATACCAACGCATCCTTTCAAAAAATGGTAAATAAAGGAGAAAAAATCATGTATATACTTTGCCTTTCCTTTATAAATTATATTACAAGGTAATCAAATAGTTGAGCAAAAATTCTTTTTTCATAGAAGAGTCTTAGTTAATCAATGCAGAAGAATTTCTAGGAGTAGAGTACCATGATTTTGTCATCTCTAATGAAATCAGTGGTCTTCTAGGCAATACTCATCAAAGGCTGTAAAATCCATCAGGTGAAAGGCAGATGGGGAGTCTTAGGATGGATGGGTCGGGCTAACAAAGCATGGACTCACTGATTACTTTTAATATCACACAAAAATAGACAACAGGACATTTTATGTCTCAAGGTAATGCTGTAAGAAGTACATAGCATCATCTATGAAGAATTCTGGCTAAAATGCTGAATCTGGGGGCACCTGGGTGACTCAGTGTTGAGCGTCTGTCTTTGGTTCAGGTCGTGATCTTGGGGTCCCAGGATGAAGTCCCACATCAGGCTCTCCTCAGGGAGCTTGTTTCTCCCTCTGCCTATATCTCTGCCTCTCTCTCTGTGTCTCTCATGAATAAATAAAATCTTAAAAAAATAAAACATAAAATCAAATGCTGAATCTGGATTTAATCGGACTTTTAAATATCACCACCAGGGTACAGGAAATAAAAAGAAAAAAGAAACAGGGTAAACACCACCACAAGGTTGCAAATTAGATATACGCAGAATGTAAGAACTAACACAAGACAAATGACCTGGTTTCTTCAACAATAATGGCAAGAGAAGAGAGAAGGGGAAAACAAATGCAGATTAAAAGAAACAAGAGACGTATCAACCAAATGCAGCACGTGGCACTTTCTCAGACCTTGATTTGAACACCCCTACTGTAAAAAGACACTTCATGGGACAATCGGGGATTTTTGACCTTTGATTGCATATGAGAATTGATAGAATTCTTTAGAATTATTACACTTTCTTTTAGGCATGATGATGGTGATATTGTGGTTATGTTTTTTAGAAGTCTGTTTCTCAGGACCCCCAGGTAGCTCAGTGGTTAAGTGTCTGCCTTCAGCTCAGGGCGTGATCTCCGGTCCAGGATGGAGTCCCACATCGGGCTCCCTGTAGGGAGCCTGCTTCTCCCTCTGCCTGTGTCTCTGCCTCTGTGTCTCTCAAGAATAAATAAAATCTTAAAAAAAAAAAGTCTATATTTCTCAGGCACATAGAAGTTTCTACAGATAAAATTATGTAAATTTAGGATTTGCTTTAAAATAATTCAGAGATTTGCAGTGAAGGTTTAGTGTAGATTAAATAAGAGTATACACATGCTGATGGTAGTTGGTGCTGGGTGGTGGGCAGGTATGGATTCATTCAACTATTCTATTTTGGAGTATGTCTGAAAGTTCTCGTTATATAACGTTTAAAAAAAAAGGTGGAAGGAGGATAACAGAGGGACTCCTCACATTAATAATCTGTTCATGGAGCAGTCTGATCATAATCTTCCTTCCTTCTGTGATCTGCCAGTAGAGGTAGGTGATGATTCTAGAAGAGAAGAAAAAAAAGATGACAGATACTTTTGCCAATGTTCTGCAGTCCCCAAATTCCAAAAGGGCGCAAAGAAACTAATATTTGCTTACAAGTGGACTTTGGCCCTACAGTGTCCTTGAAAAGTTGGTCTGAGTGAGTTACAGGTTAAATACATCACAGCAACAGTTCTAGGTTCTGGGTGGCTCAGTGTTAAGTGTCTGCCTTTGGCTCAGGTCATGATCTCAGGGTCCTGGGATTGAGCCCCATGTCAGGCTCTCTACTCACCGGGGAGTCTGCTTCTCCCTCCCCCTCCAACCCTCCTCCATCCTCCCACCCCCACTCATGCTCATGCTCGAGTTCTCTCTCTCTCTCTCTCTCTCTCTCTCAAGTGAGTAAATAAAGATGAAAAAATAAATAAAGAGCAACAGTCCCCAACCTGGCTGCACAGAGAATCAGGTGAAAGATGGAAAAAAGACTCATTTCACAGCCTCTTCTCAGATCCATTGACTGAGTTTCCTGGGGCATAGGGGCCAAACAGTATTTTTAGAAATTACACATGATTTTAATGTGCAGCCAGAGTTTGTGAATCTGGATAGTGCAATTCAAACTTCAACATGACACAAATTTCCTGGGAGTTTTTCAAAATACAGGTTCTGGGATTCTGTAGGTCTGGGGTAGGGTCTAAGATTCTGGATCTCTAGCAAGCTCCCCAGTGAACTGGTAATTTGATGCAACAAGCTGCTAGGAAACCTGAGCATTTTAAAGAGGCAGATAACAACCTAGTCTGGGGAGGGAAGGCATGCCCAGGAGCAAGGACATCCAGGTTGTAGCACGCTGTCACTCACAGACCGTTCAGCCTGGAACTTATCTCTGCAAGTCAGCCCATTGCTGTCTTATCACTTCTACCTGTAAAACTAAGAGGTTGCTCTGTAAGCAACATCTACTGGTTCCACTAATCTGTGCTTTTGAGTTGTATCTCTCTCTGGGAAGAGTTGCTATCTCTAATGCCATCAGGCCTAGGCTTCTTTCTTTCTTTTTTTTAAGATTTTATTTATTTGAGAGAGAGTGAGCGAGCACACATGAGTGGGGAGGGCAGAGGGAGAGGAAGAAGCAGATTCCCTGCCGAGTGGGGAGCCCCTATATCCCAAAGGCAGCTGCTTAACCCACTGAGCCACCCAGGTGCCCCAGGACTAGGCTTCTAAAGAGGGATAGCTATTAGCCAATCAACTATTCATGTAGGAAGATGAATCCAATCTTGGCAGTTCTTTTTTTTCCACAAGAAGTCAGATATTGATCATTTTTATTTGAAAATGGAAGAATGCTATCCTACATACCAACAATGCCCAATCCATTCGAACGTAACCACAATCTCAGGAAGAATCACACATGTGATTTTCCTAAGCATTCTCAAATCCAAAATTTCATTTTGTTTTTATGTTATTTAAGAGGGGACATAACATGTATTACTTTTTCATAAAACAGGCAAAAAAACACACACACACACACACACACACACACAAAAAAGACCTAGGGCAAGATGATAGCAAGTAACTGTTTTAAAAAATTCAAGGGCAAAGTGAAGACCATCCAGAATATTGATTTGTGGCCTTCTGCTTTCCTGGCAAACCTCCCAGAGTCTATTCCCAGGTGAAGTTAATGGCACATTTCTCCCCCAGGTTCTCAAACGTGCTCCACTTACAGCACAATGAGGGTGAGGATGAAAAAGAAATGCACACTTCCAATGAGGTTCTGGTAGATCCAAACAACCCATAGGTAGCTGGGCCTTTTACTCAGGGAGTCAATCCAGCCGTAGATGGAGTGAATGAAGAAGGGTAGACCTCGAAAGGGACCACAGTCAGCTGAAGGTTTCAATCTGATAAAACAAGGGATAGAAAGACATCTCTAGCAGGAGACGCAGGGCATAGCTTTTTTCTAGAATCAAATGGTCCTTTCTGAGCCCTGGACCTGGAGCCAGAAATTCTTGCCTGCTGATACCCTCTCCCTCCTGGCCTCAGCTGCTATGTTTTGTGCTCATGACCTGCACTCCGAGGATCAGCTCCCACACAGGGTTCACATTGGATCTACTGGTCACCAATCCAAAGAGCAGGCAATGAACTCTGCGGCATCCCAGCTTGCAGAAATGAACTGGGTGGTCAGATTATTTTTCTGGGGAAGTCAAACTAGGAAATACAAAGAGGAGACCCTGTGATCTGTGGAAGCTGACGCTGTGGCAATGGTGGCCATGTGTAGCAGTAGGAAATAGCAGAAACTAGAGGGAAACTAGGAACTGGTTAGGAAGAGGGAAAAAAGAGAGATGCAAAGACATCATAAAACAGAGGAGCCTGGCCTGAAGCCACCTGAGTTCCTGATAGTTCTATTTCTGCTTATGTCCTAAAAGTCAACTCCTTTGTTCATTCATTCATTCAATAAAAGTTTATTGCACCTGTACCAGGTGCTGTGCTAGACACCAAGCCCTGGAGATTACATAGGAAAGAGCAGACCTGGATTCCACCCTCTCAGGCTTACATTTTACCAAGAAAGATGGACAACTAATGAGTCACAATTAAATAAAGATTCAAATGAAGGCATTTCTGACCATGAACGATGGAATAAAGAAAAGAAACTGACCTGAGAGAAGGTGGAAGTGACATAGATAAGGATGGTCATGAGGACCACATCTTGAAGATGACCTCTGAGCTGAGAACCAGAGGGTATACAGAAGGCCATCGAGCAAAGTGGGAAGAACATTTCAAACAGAGGACTCCACCCTGTGTTGGGAGAGGCTCATAGGGTCCCAGGTATGGAGCAAGAGCCATGAGGATGAAGGAAGGTGGAGCCGGAGTGGGGTGAAGCTGGAGAGCTAGAAAGGAACCAGCTCAAGCAAGGCATTAAATGTTTATTTAGCTGAAGTTCTGTCCCCATTCTGGGAACAGTACTTTGAGGAAGTGAGGAAGCTGCACCAAGCCACCTGATGGGTGGTAACCAAGCTAAGATCTATTCCCTTCTTTGGCTGTTGTGTCTGCCGATTACCAAGGGAACTTGGGTGCAACAATGTATTAAGCTTATCTTCTCACTTCTCTTGACATGGGGGGTGGGTGGGTTCCCTTCCTGGAGAGATAGCCTGTCCTGGGGCTACCCTATGTCTTTCATATGCAAACCAACTGATCCAAGAGCCCATATCCCACCTTCCGCCTACTCTATCAGGTTCTCACACTCAGGGTCACTATCCCCTGCCCTGTTCACCCGGGGCCAGGTACCAGACAACTCCAGACAGCCCCTATATCTCAAAACCCACTGAAATTGTTCCAACTTGCCAATCCTAAACCTGCCTACTCTGCCTCACCCTTTCCTTCCCATAGAAACCACAACAAAGGCTCTTGCTCACATTTTTCTCCTCACTCCCTCTGCATCCTGACCAACCCTGGGGTTTCCTCACGTGGCCCTCTGTGGTGTGGTATTCCCATTCCCCGCCACCACCTCTACTGGGATCTGAGAATAACAGATCATCTTTTCAACAGCATTTTTATCTTCTGATCTGCTGGCCTCACCCTTGATAATAAAGCCTACATTTTAAAACACTCACCTACTCCATCTCTAACACCTCACCACAAGGCCACTATCTCTCCTACCTCCAGATGGTGATGGCCAGGGTGCACAGGACCCCAGTGAAGGATGGGAAAAACAGCAAGAAGATGAAGAATGTCATCATCTGTGAGGCTCGCCAGGCTTTGCTCGGAGGCTGGAAATTCATCATCAGGCTGATCTGAAGAGAGAGAAGCATCATCTTCCATCTGTGACCAGAGAAGCAGGCCAGATGGACCCCAGCCAGGCACTGGTTTCTTGATAGCCTTCCCAGCACCACCAGTCCCTACCCTGCCACCCCAGTGCAATTCCAATCACCCCTGGGGTCACAGGGGACTGAGAGAAGCTAATTGATTCCAACTTCAGACTGACTCACATTTTTGACGTAAAACATGATGAAAAGAGTAATCATTTGGATAAAGGGCAGCAGAAGACAGAAGAAGGTTCCAATCCTATGAGGGAGAAAGAGTGTCAGAGGTCACAGGGAGACACACAGAGTGGGGAGTGGGGGCAGATATGGACTGTGGAGTGAAGGGAAAGACAGTGTTATGGGCTGAACTGTTTCTCCAAAATCCATATGCTGAAGTCCTAACTCCTAGTACCTCGAAATGTGACTATATTTGGAGATAGGGCCTTTAAAGAGATAATTAAGGTAAAATGAGGTCACTAGGGTGCGCCCAAATGGCATCTGACTAGTGCTTTTATTTTATTTTTTTATTTACTTATGATAGTCACAGAGAGAGAGACAGGCAGAGACACAGGCAGAGGGAGAAGCAGGCTCCATGCACTGGGAGCCCCATGTGGGATTCGATCCCGGGTCTCCAGGATCGTGCCCCGGGCCAAAGACAGGCGCCAAACCGCTGCACCACCCAGGGACCCCTGACTAGTGCTTTTAAAAGAAGAAATCAGGACACAGATACATACAGAGGAATCATGTGAGGACACTGGGAAAAGGTGCCATCTACAGGCCAAGGGCAGAGGTTTCAGAAGAAACCAACCCTACAACACCTTGATCTTGGACCTCAAGCCTCCAGAATTTGAGAAAATAAACTTCTGGGAGCATCTGGGCGGCTCTGTCAGTAAAGCGTCTGACCTCAGCTCAGGTCATGATCCCAGGGTCCTGGGATAGAGCCCCAGGTTCGGCTCCCTGTTCAGCTGGGAGTCTGATTCTCCCTCTCCCTCTGGCCCTCCTCTCTGCTTGTGCTCTCTCTCTCTCTGAAATAAAATTATTTATTCATTCATTCATTCATTCATTCATTCATTCATTCATTTATTTGAAAGACCGAGGGGAGGGGGGCAGAGACACAGGCAGAAGGAGAAGCAGGCTCCATGCAGGGAGCCGGACACCGGTCTTGATCCCCGGTCTCCAGGATCAGGCCCTCGGCTGGAGGTGGCGCTAAACCAATGAGCCACCAGGGCTGCCCAATAAAATCTTTTTAAAAAAGAAGAAAATAAATACGTTTCTGTTGTTTATTAAGCTACCCAGTCTGTGGTACTTCGTTATGGTAGCCCTAACAAACAAATGCTGCAAACCAAGAAAATTCCTACCATACCCAGTAACCTTAGCTGCTCTCTTCCCAGCTTTAGAAAAGATATTTTGCAGAAAGCACCACCCACATACCACCAAATGCCCTTCAGCAAGCCCTAACTGAGGTGTCCCAAATGTGGGACATGTCCCGTTCCTCCCTTCATGGCATCCAGAATGTCTGACACCCTACAGGGACAGTAAAAACTGCATTGAGTTACACATGAGAAGGTCATTCCCCCTCAATTCTCCTTAATGCTCCTGAGTACCAAGAAAAGAAAATCTTACTTTGGTGGGCCTAACATTTGCCAACCTCCCTTTTTTATCTTAAAAGAAAGGTTGGGATGGGCATCTGGGTGGCTCAGTGGTTGAGCGTCTGCCTTTGACTTAGGGCCTAATCCCAAGGTCTAATCAGGTCCCGCATTTGGGTCCCTGCATGGGGCCTGCTTCTCTCTCTGCCTGTGTCTCTGCCTCTCTCTGTGTGTCTCTCATTAATAAATAAATAAAATCTTAAAAAAAAAAGAAAAAGAAAAGAAAGCATGGGAATAAGGTTTAAACTGCGAGCCTTGGCAGACAGCAGCACCCAGCTAGAATTTAATGACTATGATGGGCCTAGCTTTAGTTTTAAAAAAATTGAAATTTTTCTTTAAGTAATCTCTACACCAGAGATAGGGCTTGAACTCACAACCCTGAGATTAAGAGTCAGACCCTCTACTGACTGAGCCAGCCAGGTACCCCCAGTTTGACTTTATTTTTTCAAGTGACTTGCAGATTTTCTCAAATGACACTGCTTTCCATGTATGGCTGTAAAATATAAAGATTCCTTTAAAAATGTATTTAAGAAAAAAAAAGAGGACAAACCATAGAAAAAATAATATTAAGTGAAAACCAGTACTGGTGATATGTAGATATGCCAAAAAATAGGTAGGTTGGTGTGCAGAACACAACTTTGGGAAACACTTACCTCAACTCATTTCTACCATTGTCCATAATCTACACTTCCTTTCTATCATTCTGTTAACTTTTTTTTTTTTTTTTTTTAAAGAGAGAGAGGGGATCCCTGGGTGGCGCAGCGGTTTGGCGCCTGCCTTTGGCCCAGGGCGCGATCCTGGAGACCCAGGATCGAGTCCCACGTCGGGCTCCCGGTGCATGGAGCCTGCTTCTCCCTCTGCCTGTGTCTCTGCCTCTCTCTCTCTCTCTCTCTGTGACTGTCATAAATTTAAAAAAAAATTAAAAAAAAAAGAGAGAGAGAGAGTGAGCAGCAGAGGAGCAGAGAGAGAATCCCAAGCAGGGATTGACCATCCAATGGTCAATAGTGTGAGGGCTTGATCTCTAGGGTTCAAAAACCTGGCCAAAGTAAGCACCCAGTAAATGAAGATATGCCATTATTATCACATCAGCTGATTTATGCACATCATTTATTTAAAAAATTGAGAGTGCTCAATATGCACCATATGATCCAACAATTCCACTTCCGGGTATATATCCAAAAAAAAACTGGGGCAGCCCAGGAGACTCAGCGGTTTAGCGCCGCCTTCAGCCCAGGGCCAGATTCTGGAGACCTGGGATCGAGTCCCATGTCGGGCTCCCTGCATGGAGCCTGCTTCTCCCTCTGCCTGTGTCTCTGCCTCTGTCTCTCACGAATAAATAAATGAATAAAATCTTTAAAAAAAAAAAACTGAAAGCAGTCAGGTCTCAAAGAGATATTTGCATACTCATAATCAGAGCAGCATTATTCACGGTAACCAAGAGGTAGAAGTAACCCAGAGGTCCCCTCATGGATGAATGGATAAACAAAATATGGTATAGCCATACAATGGACTATTTAGTCTTATAAAGGAAGGAAGTACTGGTGTACACCACAATATGTAGAGCCTGAAGAACATTATGCTAAGGGAAATGAGACAGTCACAAAAAGATAATTTCTGTATGATTCCACTAACATAAAGTATCTAAACTGTCAAACTGATAGAGAAAATAGAGTGCTGCTTGCCAGGGGCTGGGGAAGGAGGAACTGCTGAGTTCTTGTCATGGCTACAGAGTTTCAGCTTGGCAAGATAAAAAGAGTCTGGAGATCTGTCGCACAGCTATGTGAATATACTCAACACTTAACAATACATTTAGAAATGCTTAAGATGATATTATACTATGCATTTTCCTACCACAGTTTTTAAAAAGTGCTCAGGGCACCTGGGTGGCTTGGTGGGTTAAATGTCTGCCTTCGGCTCAGGTCATGATCCTGGAGTCCCAGGATGGAGCCCCATGGGGACATTTAACCCACCAAGCCATCCAGGCAACCTGGGGGCTCCATGCTCAGCAGGGAAGGCTGCTTCTCCCCCTCCTTTCGCTCCTCCCCTATTCATGCTCATTCCCCCCACTCTCTGTCTCTTAAATAAATAAATAAATAAATAAATAAATAAATAAATAAATATCTTTAAAATAAATTAAAATAGAAAGTGAGCATCAGGGTAACAGTAGCCACAATATCCCCACTTACAAAATATATCTGAGTCAGTGTGAAGATTTTCAAAACTTACCACACCAGAGTTTGTGCATAGATCAGTTCCAGGACATTCCTGGCGATGTCAAACTCCTGTAAGCCAAGGCTTGTTATAAACTGCATCCCAATGAGTCTGTGAAAACATCACTGAGGTTAGTACCCAAATCATCAACTCTCTCCTTCAAAAGATTTCCTGCAATCAACAAAGTAGAGCCTCACCAGTTTGGAATAAAGTCATAAGTTCCCTTGCAAGTGTTTGGAAAAATTCCAAGTATAAGCATATTTTCAAAGAAATAATTGATGGAATTAAGGGGAAATGGAATTAATACAATGCATTCAAATAGAGGTACTGCTGAAGTGGTTTAAAAAATTGTAGATGGGTGCCTAGGTAATTTAGGCTAAGCATCTGATTCTTGATCTCAGTTCAGGTCATTATCTCAGGGTAATGAGATCCAGCCCCACGTCAGGCTCTGGGCTGGGCATGAAGCCTGTTTAAGATTCTCTCTCCCTTTCTCTCTGCAACATCCCCTGTCTAAAAAATAAATAAATAAAAATAAAAAATAAAAATTCTAGAGGACATTATTTAACTTATCCCACCTGCTATTTAAATAGATACTAGTTATAATAATAGATATTATTTAAAGGAGATAATTATTAAAATTATCCTACCTATTTATCTCATTTATATCACTTGTTTGCTTGTTCAACCTTTTTCTCAGGGATCAGATAAATTTAGCACCTCCCAACTCAAGTAAGCTGAACATTTTTCCATTTTTGGTTATTGTTACTGGATTAATAGTGCTTTCCCATTTTCTAAACCCACAAGAGGAAGCCAAGGTCTCCATTTATTCTGAGGAAACTTGAGACCCCTTTGATTTCTTCATATAGAGAGGGTGCAAAACACACACACACACACACACACACATACACACAAAATGCCATCAAAAAGCCCAAAACAGAACAAAACAACCTCCTCATCTTTATGTCCAGACCCTAGACAGAGGCTGTAATAAAAGTGTGTTTGGGCAGACTGAATGAGGGGGTTGGGCATGCAACCTACCCATTGAGGAAAGAATTTTTGTGTTATGCCATATCATCACAGGAGCAGCTTGTAGAAACATGTAAGTGTCCATGAGGAATGAGATGCTCCGCATATTATTGACAAATAAATGAATCAGTGAAAAAGGTCTATACATGGGCCAGTAATAACATTGCCTCAATTCTGTATACCTGGTGTCTAAAATAATAATTAGCACATTAATCAAATTCAATTAAATGAATCATGACATAAATCTAATGTAATGTCAGGGAAAGATGCCACAGCAGAGTGTTAAGATTAATAAGAGCAAACACGGGGCACCTGGGTGGCTCAGTTCGTGATCCCTGCAGGAAGCCTGCTGTGGAACATGATTCCAGGACCCTGGGATCACAACCTGAGCCAAAGGCAGATGCTCAACCACTGAGCCACCCAGATGCCACACTTTTTTTTTTTCAAGAGAAGGTTGGAAAGGGCCAGCTGAACCAAATGAACTTGGACAATAAGACTGTTGGATAAAAGTGAATTTTCGGTTAATTCAAGAAGAAAGGAGTGTCCCAAAGAACAAGAGGCAGACTTGTAACAGTGCACGCCAAAGTATATAAGGGACACTTACATAGTCAGTACATACCCATACTTCCTACTCAGGCAAGACTATGACTCTGGTTCCAACATCAGGTATTAATTACTAAAGGCTGACAAATATTTACCTCCTCAGGAACTCGCCCAGGAAGGAATCAGCTAAAGAGAACACAAAATCCATCAGAAGAAGTCGGTAGATTTCCTGGCCAATGAGGGTTTCCCAACACTGAAAGGCAAATAAGAGTCAGGAGATGGAAGGGGCTATTGCTTCCTGCTCAATTCCCCTCTGTTCCTGGCATCCTGCACTCATTAGGACATGGCTGGTGGCTCAGTTTGACAGAGTCCTTGTGTACCCAGAAAAGCAGACCTACTCTGGGCAGAGATGCACCATTAATTTGTTGAGTTTGTTTTCAAGGGTGTTTACTCCCTTTCTGTGCCCCTTCCTCCCCCCACCCCAGTAAGTCTTGCCCCCCACATGTACCTCAAACTTTCTCTTGTCATTATCTCTCCTCTTTCTTCTTTTTTTTTTTTTATTAAGACTTTATTTATTAGAGAGAGCGTGCACGAGCAGGGGGACGAGCAAAGGGAAAGGGAAAAGCAGAATCCCCATGCAGCTGGGAGCCTAAAATGGGGCTCTATCCCGGGCCCCCAGGATCATGATCTGAGCCGAAGGCAGACACTTAACGAACTGAGCCACCCAGGTGCCTTTCCCTATCTCTCCTCTTAAAACTTTTCATCCCTGTCCTATGCTTCTGGATCCAATTTCTCAGCTAGCCATCACTGACGATAATGCCTTCAGTCTTTTTTTCTTTTTAATATTTTATTCATTTATCCATGAGAGACACAGAAAGAGAGGCAGAGACACAGGCAGAGGGAGAAGCAGGCTCCATGCAGGGAGCCCGATGTGGAACTCGATCCCAGGACCCCGGGATCATGCCCTGAGCCGAAGGCAGATGCTGAACTGCTGAGCCACCCAGGCGTCCCCTTCAGTCTTTTTATTAACCTTATGAAAATCCATTAATAACTGCTTGACTAAGAAAGAGGCCTAGGGGTTTAGCAGGCTAGCACAAATTGGAAGGCTGAATTAGTTCATGAAACTGGTGGTCAATTACCTCTGCCGGAAGTCAGTGCTAATAGCTGATGACTGGGAGCTTTTAAATTTGACCGAAACAAGTAGAGGGAGGTTTGGGGTGCACAGCCCAAGGATGAATGGATGGAGGGAGCAAGGGGAGGAAGGAGGTATGGAGGGATAGTGGGAGGGATGGATGGATGAAGGGATGAATAGATAAATACATGGATGGATGGAAGAATAATATGATATTTAAGATTATGAGTAAAAACTCTGAGAAACTAGAGAAATTCACTTTCTCCCTGGTGGTCAAAGGATAAGAAACCAAACTCAAGGCAAAATAGCATAGAAATCTCACCTCTTCACCAGCCTGGGCCACAATGTTGAGCCAATAGTAACAAAGGATTCCAATGATTGATATTTTCAGAAAGATGTTTCTAAATAACAGAAGAGAAAACAACTATCATTACCTTCCATGATAGTCATTAGTACTGAATATTTCCTTTTGGTCACATGTTAGGACTGAAATTCCTGCTCCCCTGTAGTTTGAGTGGAGCCATAGGGCTAGTTCTGGCAAATGAGTTGTGAGAAGTGATGTGTGTCACTTTGTGTCCCTTCTAGCCTGGAGCATTTAAGTGCCGGTGACACTCTCCAGAACTCACTATCTTCCCTCTGGAATGGATATCAGCAAAATTCCAGATGGTTGCTGCTCTCAGCCTGGATCCCTGCATGAATGACATGACCAATACTCCCCGCCATCCACAAAGGACATATAATATTGACCAAGAAATAAATCTTTGGGTTCTAAGCCATTGAAACTAAGGAGAGAGAGGATGTTTTTTACTGCAGCGTAACCCAATTTATATCAACTTCTATACCATCTTTTGGTGCATCTCCAAACTATCTGACTTCACTTCTCGTTGTAATAATAGTAAATGTACATACTATTCACTGGGGGCTGACCATGGACAGTACACTGTGCTAAGAACTTCACTGAATCATCTTAATCTTTATAACTTAATACTAAACATTCTACAACTCTGAATATTTACAACTCTATCACCAGGTAGAGAGTGTTTTATATCCCTCAGAGGTGAAACAATTTGTCCAAGGTCACACAGCTTGCCAGGGGCATGACAAAGATAAAAACTGAGGACCATCTGCTCTCATAGCCTGAGCTCTTAAACCCAGTTACTTTGCCTAAATCAACACCTGCTGGTTTTAATGAGGTCTCAGCCCTGGTGTACCAAGAACTGTGTGCCACTAAACCAGTGGTTTTCGAGGTGTGTCTTCCAACCCATTTAGCATTACTGCCCTCTGTATACTTGCTAGAAAGCCAAATTTTCAAGCCCCACCCCAGATCTACTGAACCCAAAGCTTTGGAAACGGGGCCAAACAATCCCTTCAGGTAATTCCAGTGCATGCTGAAGGTTGAAAACCATTGTGTTAGACTCAGCTCCATGAAGGAAGGGAAATGGATATGTCTTTTTCAATGCCAGATCCCCAATCTCTTCCCAGTACCTAGCTTGCAGTAGACCCTCAATATCTATTGGATGAACATGTACCTTTATTGCAGGGGAGCTCCAGGTTAAACTTGAAAACACACTCATCTAAGCTGAGAAAAGCTCATCTTAGTATATGTGCTCCTGAAGCAAGCATGAGGAAAGCTCATCTTAGATTGAAAAGAATTGTATATTCCTGAGCTTTCTCATTTTCTTTTCATGCAGAGAAGATATTTGAATATGTTGTGAAGCAGTACAAATGGCTGGTGTATATGAAAAGGCAACTAACCTCTTTAATGATCAGAAAAAACACAATAGCAAAGTGATTGGTTCCAAATGGCCCACTGAGCACACATGTCTACCATCACTCCATCCAAATTCCCCAAATGAGATGGGAGAGCTGGTCAGCAGTCAGACTGCAGAGGCCATGGAAGGCAAAGGCTCCAGAACTGATCTATGCAAACTCAATTTGCATTGTACAGACCTATTATTATAAACACCACCATAACCAGGAACTGGTCAGAGAAAAGGCCAGGAAAAAAGGACAAAATTTGGGTACTTTTATGCTTTGTTTACCAAAACCCTGGGGCCACCTCTAGCACAAAAAGGCACACCCTCCCAGCCAATGAATTGCCAAAAGCACTCCCTCTACCTCCCCATGGGTGGGGAATTTCAAAAATGCACCTGTTTCTCCCAGCTGAGGCATGGCTACCAGGGCTCATAGCTTGACTAATGGGAATGGTGAATAAAGTTCAGTCCCCACACAACCCCTCAGCCAGGAACTTTTCTGCAGTATACAACATGCACGACTGTACATCTCATAATGGAGAGCTATGTTAATCCTCAGGCTGATAGCAATCGGGAAAGTAAGCCATAACTTTGAGCAAAAGGCAGATGGATTTAACGGTATTTTCTGAGTGCTTTTTGGATTCTATGGCTATTAACACACACCAAACACACTTTCTTCTTGGAATTCTTTCTAGAAAACAGAATGTTGGTACTTGAGCATGACCTGTTCTAGCTCCCACCTTACTTCCCTCCATGGAAACAGAGGCTGTCATTGGATGGGGCACACCTACCGGATCAGGAGGGTATAGACTTCGTGCCGGGGCATCTCATACCGCTCCACCAGCCTGAACAGGGAATAGAGGCGTGGCACAGCCAGGTTGATGCAGGACACAATGAAAGGCAATAACAGCACCGCCCCAGGGTCCTTGTGGTTCTTCAGGAACTGCAGGGGATGGAGGCAAAGAGCTGAGATGCCCAGTGTGCACTTAACTCCTTCCTGCCTCCCACAGAAGACTGCCCATGATGGGGAACCCTCAGGGGTAGCTCCTCTGGCGTACTTACCCCAAGCCAAGCATCACCCACAAGATGGCACACGATCCTCACTAAAGCCCAGCAGGTGGGTATGAATAGACTTATCTGACTGGCAAACTGAGGATCAGAGAGGGGAAAAATCTTGCCCAAGGTCACCAACCAAGAAGTGGCAGATTTGTACTGGGTCTATGTGCCTCAAGGGCCTGAACTCAAACAGTCATTCTGTGACTTTACCACCCTCGACAAGAGGTCTGGGGCGATGAGGATGTGCCCCTGGCTGTTGGAGCAAAAACTTCCATCTGCTGAAGCTACAGCACAAGGATAAACTTGAAAACACACTCATCTAAGCTGAGAAAAGCTCATCCTAGTATATGTGCTCCCAAAGCGAGCATGATAGAATGCTCCATCTATCACGATTGATCACAGGAGAATGTTTCCTCCCCTCTTCTGTGTGGCCCTGTTCATCTTCAGCAGTCTTCACTGTCCTTGGGTGCTGAATTAGGGGAAAGCAGAGCCCCTGCCAGCCCATGCCGGACCTTTGTCCTCTTCAGTTCAGACTGAGGTCTAAGGTGCCCCTCTGCCAGGCATCCTTGGAGTAAAGGATTCCAGTGGATTTTTCCTCGGTCTTCCACTATCCCTATCCCTTCCTTGCCTCCCCGCTCCCAAGGCCTGACTCTGCCTCTCTACCTCTGGATGGTTTTGAAAGTCCCGCTTGCACTCTGGGCAGTATTTTTGTGGCCAGGGTAAGGTGGATTCAAATGCTGCCCCCTCACCATGCTTATAAGCTGCAAGGTCTGGAGCCAGAAGCATAGCTTCTTAGAGCCTCTTTCCCTGTCCATATAATAAGGGGATTACGGCCATAACCCATAGAGCCATCTCAAGAATTAAATGAGACCAGAGGCGCCTAACTGGCTCAGTTGGTTAAGCATCCAACTCTTGATTTCAGCTCAGGACATGATCTCAGGGTCCTGGCATAGAACCCTGCATCTGCGTCGGGCTCCATGCTCAGAGGGGAGTCTGCTTAAGATTCTCTCTCCCTCTCCCTCTGCCCTTCCCTCCTCTCTCCCTTTCTCTCTCTCCCTCTCTTTATCTCTAACATAAATAAATATTTTTTAAAAAATTAAATGAGACCAAATAAGGCAAGGTATGGCCCCTAAATAACACAGGTAGGGCATCATTCATAGGAAACTGTAGATGCCAAGGAGTATGACCCCTGGAGTTGTACAAAGGGTTATTCCTGCCTGGCACAGAGCAGGTGTTCAAACAATAGGAATGATTCAACCTCTGCCTCCTCACCTCCTTCACTGCCCTCCTTCCCTTCAGGTGGGTGTAGAGAAAAGGTTCCAGGTAAAGAAGAAACTCAGAAGTCTTCTTTATATGCCTATAGCTCCCTGGTCACAGTATCCATCCTAGGTAGCATTGCCAAGCCCTTCAGCATTGAGACTTCATTTCCCCTCTTTCAGGGCACACCTTCATCTGGTTAATGGAAAACCCTTAGGCTTATATAATCCTACATCCATTTTCTTGCCGGCTTCTCCTTTACTTATTCACTGCTTTGGATGAGCACCTACTATGTACGAGCTATTGGGCCTGGAGTCCGGCTACCATCTTTTGAAGACAGTTGTATAAACAGGAATTTTCAATACCACACATGACAAGGGCATGGAGAAAGCCTGCAGAGTTAGGAACACCCAACTCAGTCTAGTGAGGGTGGTGGTGGTGAGGAAATGACACCATGTTGAAATCTAGAAGAGGAGGAGTTTTCCAGATAAGGGAATTAGGGGAGGTGGGGTGGAGAATGAACTGCATGTTTCCCACCTAAAGATGAGGAAAGGCATGGTGTGTTCAGGGAACTATGGATGTAGCATTTAGTGTTGCTGGTGTGTAGGATATGGGTAGTTGTGGGGTGTTGAGTCTAGAGATATGGACAGGGATCAGATCATAGAAGATCTGTCAGTCATGCCATGGAAGATAGATTTTATATGGAGGGTAATAGGAAGCCATTAAAGAAGGTGACATAATCAGACCACCTTGTACCATAATTCTAGAGATCAACAAACTGGCTACAATTAGCCCCATTTTCCAAGGGATTTGAAAGCTGAAATAAAAAAAAAAAAGACTTTGCCCAGACCACCCAGCTAATTAGTCTCAGAGTCCATATCATTAGGAAAAAAAGAGAAAAGAGCTAACATTCCTTCATTACGCATAGTACTGGACACCAAGTAGATTCTTCACATAACTTTTCTCCAGGCCTGACCACACACCTACAAAGTCAGGATCATTCCTGTTTTGCAAGGAAGAATATGGGGCTCAGGGCTCAGAAAGGTTAAATCATTCACCAAAGTCCATCATATCACAAGACTTACTGAGTATCTACTCAGTGCCGGGGCAGTAGGAGGCATTAGGGATGTAATAATGAAAGAAGAAACCAAAATTTAATCCCAGGTCTGTGGTCCAAGTGCCCACCTCTCCACTAGTCCCAAGCTTCTTGCTCTAAGGTGTGCACGCACATGACCAGGGGACACTCTTAAGATGGATTTGGACTCCATGGGCCAATGGAGGGCCCCAAGATTCTGCATTTTGTTCATAAGCTTCCAGTTGATGCCAGTGCTGCTGGCCAGAGAGTCTGGTTTGAGTAGCAGCTCTACACTGCTCTCCCCTCCAGGATCTCATCCCTTCTTCTGGTTCTGTGCTATGGACCCTGGGGCTCCTGCCCCTGTGGTTACCTCTGAGTTGTTCTCAGCCAGGTAATAAACAGCTACACAACAGGCAACAGCCACTCCAGTAGACACAACCCAGGCTGCCAGGTGGGCAGACAAGCGGATCAGCTGCTGATTGAACGTTAACTTGACATTCTCCTGAAGGATTTCTGACAAGTTTTCCTACAAACACAAGAAAGACAAGTTGGTGCACAGTACCCTCTCCACTGAGCAAAGACTCTTCAAGTGAATGTTTGCCCCTTCAAGCCACAAACCCATCCCAGACCCACAGAAGAAAGGGGAAAGTTCATGTCATATGTGGATTATGAGAGACTCATGGGAAAATCTCCAGTGGATCAAGAACCCCCATCACTGCAACAAACACGTTTTCCAGATGGGTGTTTGTTTGAATAGATGGGACCAAGAGGTTGGGACTGTGTTCTTCAGGAAAGCACTTTGAGGTCAAGATACTCTTTTTTGAAGAATAAGGCTGGGTATCTACACAAAGGAAGTTAATATCTTCAAACCTCTTGTCGAAGCCCCTTTGCTTATAAATTTTGCTTGTTCTTTTTTTTCTACAGATTTTATTTATTTATTTGAGAGAGAGAGAGAGAGAGAGAACAGAGGGAGAGTGAGAGGGAGAAGCAGACTCCCTGCTCATTGGAGAGCCAAATGCATGCAGCTCAATCCCAAGACCCTGAGATCATGACCTGAGTCATGGGTTTGAGTCTGGGTTTGGTTTTTCTATTTATGGGTTTGTTTGGGTTTTTTTTACCTCTTTCTTTTTAATAAGTTTTTTTTTTCCTACAGACCTGGGCATTATGAACATTTTCAGCTGGTATTGTTGTGACAACATTCCTATGCATTGCAGGATGTTGAACAATATCCCCAGCCTCCACCCACTACACACTAGTAGCACCCGCCCCCTAACTGAAACAATCAAAAAAGTCTCCAGATATTTCCATATATCCCCCAAGGGGCAAAATTGTCCTGAGTTGAAAATCACTAGAAAAAATGTTAAACTTTAAACTGGAAGGTCAAGAAGCATTTACATTTAACATTTTGATATAAATCACTAAACTGCCCTCCAGTAAGCTGGTACCAATTACAGAGCCACTGTATTGTGTGAAAATGTTCATTTCCCTAAACTGTCACCAGCACTAGGCATTATGAATATTTTTAGGTGTTTTTGGTTTTGTCTGGTTCTTTTTCTTTTTTTTCTTTTTTCTTTTGGTGGGAGGGGGCAAGCTCATGAGCCATTAAAAAAAAATCATTATTACTTAAAGAAAAGTTACAGGGGTGCCTGGGTGGCTCAGCAGTTGAGCATCTGCCTTCAGCTCAGGGCGTGATCCCAGGGTCCAGGATTGAGTCCCACATCGGGCTCCTTGCGGGGAGCCTGCTTCTCCCTCTGCTTGTGTCTCTCATGAATAAATAACTAAAATCTTAAAAAAAAAGAAAAGAAAGAAAAGAAAAGAAAAGAAAAGGTTACAGACATACAGAAGGAACTTGGCTGTGGGAAGCTGCTATATAAACCAAGCTTGCCTTACCCTTATTTCAGTGCTAAGATTCTTCTGTCTCAACTTGACAGCTGTTTCATTAGTTACCGTGAAGTCCCAGCAGAAAATAAGTTTAGCGATCCCTCTGGAGTAAATGTGGGGGTTAATGAAGTTGTTTCGGAAATACCTGGCCATGCTGTGGAAGGCAGAAACCAAAATACTCAAGGGTTATTGGAATAGGCATCGGGGAGTGCAGAAATTAAACAAAAGAAAGTCCTATCATTAACAGTGAAAGGTAGTATGAAGAGCTAACATTGGGTTCTACTGGAACAATGCAATCACCAACATAATGGTTAGGAGCACTGGCTTCAAGACCTGACAGGCTTGGCTTATAATCATGGATCACCACCCAGGGGATAGTGGTTGTTTTAATTGCTATGAGCCTCAGTTTCCACATCTACATAATGGGGATAATAGTACCCACTCACAGAGCTTCTATGAGAATTGTATGAGTTTCCACTTGCTGCTGCACCAAATTGCCCCAAACTTAGTGGCTTAAAACAACACACTTTTATCCTCTTACTGGAAGTCAGAAGTCAGAAAATCATTCTAAATCCAAGGTGTTGGTAAAGCTGTGTTCCTTCTGGATACTTTAGGGGAAGATCTGTTCCCCTGCGTTTTCCAGCTTCTAGAGGCTCCCTGCATTCCTTGGCTTATGGCCCTCTTTCATCTTCAAAGCCAGGAGAGGAGCATCTTCTGTCCTCTCTGACTTTGACCTTTCTGTGAGATGGGAGCACTTAGAAGGACCCCTTATGATTAACTGGCCCATTTAAAAATCCTTAATTTAGTCACATCTGCAAAGTCTCCTCTGCCAGGTAAGGTAACATATTCATGGGTTCTGGGGATTAGGACATGATATCTTTGGGAGACAGGAGCAGTGGGAACTGGTCAGCCAACCATGAAAGGCAATGTAGCAGTTAGAACAGTAAGCACTTTATAAAGGCAGATGCTATTCTCATGGCAATGTCAGCAGGATTCAGTGAAATCAGCCCAGGATGCACTTAGCACTGAGCCTGGTAATGTAAAAAATGCTGAGTAAAATAGACATTACCTCTTCAAAATTTGAGACCACTGACTTAACAGCAGTTTAAGAAACACTTCCTCATTAAAACGAATTAAGACAAAATGAAATCTCATTTATTTTGAATTACTATGCTGGCAGTGAGGTTGTTACGGGCAGAATTGTATACCTAAAAGTTCGTATGTTGATGTCCTAACTCAGTATCTCAGAAAGGGACTGTCTTTGGAAATAGGGTCTGGGGATCCCTGGGTGGCGCAGCAGTTTAGCGCCTGCCTTTGGCCCAGGGCGCGATCCTGGAGACCTAGGATCGAATCCCACGTCGGGCTCCCAGTGCATGGAGCCTGCTTCTCCCTCTACCTGTGTCTCTGCCTCTCTCTCTCTCTCTGTGTGACTATCATAAATAAATAAAAATTAAAAAAAAAAAACTAAAAAACAAGCATTTAAAAAAAAAGGAAATAGGGTCTTTACAGAGGTAATTATGTCAAAATGAGGTCATCAATGTGGGCCCTTGTCCAATATGACTGGTGTCCTATAAGAAGAGGAGATTAAGACTCAGACATAAATTGAGGGAAGACTGTGTGAGGCCACAGTGAGAAGGCGGCTCTCTATAAATCAAGGACAGAGACCTTGGAAGAAACCAACATGCCAACACCTTGATCTTAGACTTCTAGCCTGCAGAACTTGAGAAAACACATTTCTGTTGTTTAAGCCATGCAGTCTGAGGTCCATCATTATATGAGACAAAGGTTGAACATTTGTACCTCCTCTTCAACAGTTATCAAAGGGACGATTGTCCATCCATGCCTTCCTTGCCGTACAACTAGTTGGGCCACTACATCCTTACTTTCAGACTGACCAATTTCTTCTAAAGCACAGAAAAACCTCTCTTCTTCCAAATTTATAGTCTGACAGCATGATCAGACAGCAACAGAAAGGTGAAATTGCAGAGAAATGGTTTCCTGGGTCACTTTTGATTCTCTTGAATTTTACCTAAATCCAAACAGTTCAGAATCAAGAAATGCAGAGACTCCATACCTGAATAGCAAACTGAAAAAACAGATGATCAAACATGCTCCGATTGTGAAGATGTAGGCCAGCTGCATGTCGTAGGATGCCCTGCCATTCCCATGCCTGATCGTAGAATTGGTGTAAAAGCCATAGTACATCACTGTGTCTCTAAAATAACCCTGAAAAAATAAAATAAAATAAAATAAAATAAAATAAAATAAAATAAAATAAAATAAAATAAAATAAATAAAATAACCCTGAAAGGGACAATAAACCCTAGATCAGGGAGTTCTACAGAGAAAATGATGACTATGATCAACCAGCACAGTTCATCTTTCCCATCTGCATGAAACTTGCATCAGTCAATTTAAACCTTTTGTTTAGGGAAAGGGCACCCAAGGGCACTGAAAATGTAGACTTTTTATCACTAGGCTCTTCAGGCTGGATAGGATTCTCAAACCTTCTCTATAATGGAGGGACCAAGCTGTCACCACCTGAAACAGTGATCAAGCAAAGTGTGACTAATACCAAGAGAGCCAGCCATTACTGGCCTCTGTCATCTGTTAGGTATTATGGTCAAACATGTTCAGAATGAAAGGAATCAAGCCATTAGGTCAAAATGACAATTTAAAAAAAAATGGCAATTTACAGAAAATAAGGGGCCAGAGTAACAAATCAGAAAGACCCATAAGGAAACAATCAGACAATTCCAGAAGATAGGATGTTGGTGTCTGCATGACAACTGGCCTGATTTCTGCTACAAGTCAATGTCAAGAAAAAAGGGGGCCATGTCTGGAAAGATCATTCTAGATTAATTCAGATTTCAAAGAAAAAGCCACCGAATGCAAAGTACAGGCTCTAAATGGATCCTGGTCTGAACAAGCAAGCTATGAAAGACATTTTGGGGACAACTGAGGAAATCTGAATACGGTCTGGATTTTAAATAATATTAATTTTTAATTATTCTAGGTGTAATAACTGCAGAAAGTGTCCTTATTTTTCAGAGATATATGTTGAAGAAACTCAGAGTAGGGGTGCCTGGGTGGCCCAGTTAACTGTCTGCCTTTAGTTCAGGTCATGATCCCAAGGTCCTGAGATCAAGCCCCACATTGGGTTCCCTGCTTGTTGGGGACTCTGTTTCTCCCTCTCTCTCTGCCCCTCCCTGTGCTTGTGCTCTCTCACTCTCTCTTTCTCAAATAAATAAATAAAATCTTTTTTAAACAAGAAACTCAGAATAAAATGTCCTGATGTCTGTAATTTACTGTAAAATGCTTCCAAAAACTAATACAATAAAATAATGTGTCAAAATATTAACAATTTAAAAACCTATGCAATGGTTTACTTGGTTTATATGAATGTTTATATGAATGTCTACTTACTATTTTCCCATGTTTGAAATTTTTCATAATAAAATGTTTCATATATACAAATATAAAAAATATATATCAGGCATGTCTGGGTGGCTCAGTTGGTTAAACGTCTGACTCTGATCTCAGCGTAGGTCTTTTTTTTAAGATTTTATTTATTTTTAAAAAAAGATTTTATTTTTTTATTCATGAGAGACACAGAGAGAGAGGCAGAGACATAGGCAGAGGGAGAAGCAGGCTCCCCGCAGGGAGCCTGATGTGGGACTCGGTCCCAGGACCCCAGGAACACAACCTGAGCCAAAGGCAGGTGCTTAACCACTGAGCCACCTATGTACTCCTTCCAAGGAAAAATTTTTAACAGAAAAAGAATTAAAAAAATAAATGAAAGAACCTGACTTTGAACATTCTACTTCAAGAGTTAGCAAATTTTTTTCTGTAAAGAGCTAGAGAGTAAATCTCTTTGGTTTGGCAGCTATAGCAACAACCCTACTGACCACAATAGCAGGAAGGCATCATAGACACATAAACAAATGGATGTGGCCATGTTCCAGAAGGACATTATTTACGGGCACAAATTTGAATTTCACATATAATTTTCGTGTTTCACAAAATGTTATCCCTGTTTTGATTTTTTTTCAACCATTTAAAAATGTAGAAACAGGTGGCAGGCCAGATTTGGCCATGGCTATAGTTTGTCAGTCCCTGGTCTACAGAATCCCAATGGCAGAAATCTCTTCTATGAGGTAAATTCACAAGACAGGAGCCATATGTCTCTCAGTAGGGAGTTGGGTAGATAAATTACAGGTGCTGTTAAAAAGCATACTGTGGATCTATATACATGCTTAAGATACATAGTGAAGCAAAAAAAGGTTGCAAAGTAAGACCTGTAGTATCCTGTTTTCTGTTTACTTTTTTAATTTTCTTAAATTTTTAAAAAAGATTCTATTTATTTGAGAGAGAGAGAATGAAAGAGAGAGAGCACAAGGGGGGGAAGAGACAGAGAAAGAGGGAGAAGCAGCTCTTCACTGAGCAGGAGCCTGACGTAGGGCTCGATCCCAAGACCCTGAGATCATTACCTGAGCCAAAGGCAGATGCTTAACTGACTGAGCCACACAGGTGCCTCATCTTTTTATTTTTTTAAAAAATGTTTACCTATCTACTTACGTATCTAAGTACCTAACTGCATATGTTTGTAATGTACCTATCTATCTGTGTCTGTATAGAAAGAAAAATGGTGGACAAAGATGAGCTCTGACCTGGGGCAATAGACAAGGAAAACATGCTAACATGGACTTCCTCTTAGTTTGCTCTCTTCTATAGTAGGAACTTTTCAAAACATTGTATTTTATAGAAAGAAAAATAAAAAAGAAAGAAAAGGTAGCTTTATGAACACCAGGAGATGTCCACTACAGAGCAGGTGAACGAAAGCAAGTCATAGGCAGTACATAAGAATAATTCATCTTTTGTAAAAAAGAGAAGAAAATGATGTATATGTACATGTGCATATGTGTGTGTCTGTGTGTGTGTGGATGTGCACAGAAAAGGAGATTATGAATAATACAATTAGTATGGTTACCTCTAAAGACAGAAAGTCTACTATGTTGCGTATATGTTACTTTGAGGGAAAAAAAAGAACATTTTAAAGCCCCACTTTTGGGGCATCTAGGTGGCTCAGTCCATTGTCTGACTCTTGACTTCGCTCGCTCAGGTCATGATCTCAAGATCCTAGCATCGAGTTTCATGACTGGCTCTGTGTTCAGCAGGGAGTCTGCTTGAGATTTTTTGTCTCCCTCTCCTTCTGTCCCTCTCAAATAAGTAAATAAATATTTAAAACAAACAAACAAATGGGCATCTGGGTGGCTCAGTGGTTGAGCATCTGCCTTTGGCTCAGGTCGAGATCCTGGGGTCCTGGCATTGAGCCCCACATCAGGCTCCCCGCAGGGAGTCTGCTTCTCCCTCTACCTGTGTCTCTGCCTCTCTCTGTGTCTCTCATGAATAAATAAAATCCTAAATACATACACACACACACACACACACACACACAGATAAATTTAAAAAGTTCCACTTTCCCTATCAGTTGTCTCGCAGGCAGAGTGAGAGGTCTGGAAGGGTGAAAGGCAAGGTATGTCGGGGCTGAGGTGTTCCCAGCTGATGGGCTCCCAGTGGGGGAAATGAAGACCTTACCGCCCCAGTGAGAAGCTCCAATCCGGTGAACTGGAGGGTGTTCTTCTCAGCCACGGTAAACTGAGGGATTATGATAAAGCTGAAGGTCACAATGAACAAGAAAATGTTGAACTTCAAAAGCCACCTCAGAAAGTTAAAATAGGAGAGGACGCTGGTTCCAAACTTGCTTCCGATGACCTTGAGCGTCTTCTGCCATAGGCTGATGTAATCGAGCAGTTCTGACAGGCTGTTCTTCGATCTCCGGTAGGCCTGGGGTAGGGATACCAAGCATGTGGCCTGACGTTCCCTCAACAAATGTCTACTGAGCAGGTCCCGTAAGAACAAAAATGGACAGTGTCTAGAGCTTTATAAACATGCCAGGCACGTGCAAAGCATGTTTGTAAGCATTATCTCATTTAGTGTGCAGGACCACTCCTCAAAGTGAGTGCTATTATTACCTCCCCAGGTTTGCTGTTTTGAAGGTGACACCATAGCCAAGCTGCCCAAATAACTCAGCAACCTCTTGGACCTCTGCTTGCCCACTTGGTTTCTCTGCACCTAGGCTGACCCAATTTCTGTGGCTTTCAATGAAACAGCCCTGAATATTCCTCTTCCCCTTGGATCGCTTTCATCCCCACTCTGCCACTTTGTTTCACCCTCTTGTTATGCCCATTTTTTTTTTGACTATGATAAAAGCCTCTTACCCGTGATATGGAGCTTAGACACTGAGCACAGCAGTTGAGCTCAAGCATACGATGGGAGTGCTTACTTTTCTCTTTGTCAAGCATTTTCCTGTGGGGAACAGCAGAAGAAAGGGAGAGATACCAATGCTGGAATCATTTTGTTCCCAAAATATTTACTGAGTGCCTAGGATATGCTAGGCACAACCCAAGTAGTGAGATAAAAGAGAATGATTTCCCCGGCTCATGGAGCAGACATATCGCCTAGTTGGGACAGAAAGACAACAAATAATAAATAAAAGGTTTACTATGGAAAAGAAAAAGAAAAACAGAGCAGGGTAAGGAAATGGGAAATGCTAGAATGGGGAGTGCGCTGTAATTTGGAACAGCGCAATATTTGAGCAAAGTCTTGAAGGACAGGAGGGGTGAGCCGTTTGGATAAGGGATTGTTGCCTGCAGAGGGAACAGCCAACGTGGGACCCCAGGGAAACCGGGATGGCTAGAATGAAATAAGCAGAGGGAAGGGAGGAGGGTTTGAGTGATAACCATTTCGGGGGAGAGGTAAAAGTACTAAAAGTCAATGGTTCTCAACCTGGGGTGATTTTGTCCCCCAAGGAACATTTAGCAAGGTCTGGAGATGTTTTTGGTTGTCAAACTCTAGGGGAGAGAGATTTGCTACTAACTTCTAGTGGGTGGAGGCCAGGGCTGTGCTAAACCCTCTACAATAAACTGGCCAGAATCCTACAGCAGAGAATGACCCAGCCCCCAATATCAGGCATAATGGAGTTGTTAAATCCTGCCGTACAGTCTTTGGGGCCCTCATAAGGCCCTGCGACAGAGGCAGCCCTGCAGAATTGAAATGAAAGAGTGTTTTCAGAAAGATCCAGCCACAGTTGGCTTCCTTACCTTTCCTTTCTATTTCTCCCTGGTTCCTTCCAGGTTTCCTTTGTCCACCCAAATGCCCACCCCCACATCACCATCTTCCAAGGCTTGGCACACATCCCCTCATGTACCACCCAAGCAGCCTGTGTCACTCCAGCTGGTCCTGTCACTGCAGTCTTCTCTACCTTGATTTGGCCTGATCTCCTTTTTCTCGTGTATAACTTGTTCATGAATTCATCTCCCCTGTCAGATTTTGTAAGTTATCTTTGCAACCCCAGAACAATTGCATCATTGAATTATTTATTAGCAATTACTGGATCCACTCCACTAGTCTCTGCCAAGAGTACAAATTGCAAAAGAAAAGGATAAGGAACAGTAAATGTGAATCTTTCACTTTTTTTTTTAAATTCCTGCCCTTAGAAGCCTCTGAGGTCATTTATTTTCTTTTTATCTTTCCCATAAGCTATGAACTTCAGAGTAATTTGCAATTTACAAAAAAGTTGCAAAAGCAGTACAGAAAATTCCTATACACTACTCACCATTTTCTCCTATTAACATCTTACATTTCTTTTCTTTCTTTCTTTTTTTTTACAGAGGGAGGAGGGAGGATAAGAGGGAGAGGGAGAAAGAGAATCTTAAGCAGGCTCCACACTCAGTGCAGAGCCGAACACAGGGCTTGATCTCATGACCTTGAGATCACAACCTGAGCTGAAATAAAGAGTTGGATGTCCAGGTGACTAAGACACCCAGAGTGCCCCAACATCTTACATTTCCATGGTAGCTTTCCAAAACTAAAAAACCAACATTATCACATATACAATTACCTAAACTCCACACTATTCGGATTTCATTCATTCTTCCACCAATGTCATGTTCTATTTCAGGACCCCATCCCATATTCCATTTAGTTCCCCATCCCATATTCCATTTAGTTGTTATGTCTTTTTAGAATCTTTTGCGATAATTTTTCAGGTTTCCCTTTTTTTTTTTTTTTTTTTTTGATGACCTTGACAATTTTGAGGAGTTCTAGTCAGGTATTTTGTAGAATGTCCCTCCATTGGCATTTGCCTAATTTTTTTCCTCTGGTGATACTGGAGTTATGGTCTTTGGGAGAGAGTACCACAGAGGGCATGTGCTCTTCTGACCAGATATCTCTGGAGATGCTAACTTTGATCACATGGATAAGGGAGTGTTGGCTAGACCTCATCACTGGAAAGTTACTCTGTTTTCCATACTCCATGCTTTGAAAAGCACATTACTAAGCACAGCCCACACTCCAGGTGAAAGGAGAGAGGAGCATTTATAGAGATTATTTGGAATTTTTCTGTAGAAAGATTGTCCCTTCTCTTGCATTTATATATTTCTTATCTTTCTTTTTTTAAGAAGTATTTATTTATTTGAAAGAGAGAGAGAGGGATCCCTGGGTGGCGCAGCGGTTTGGCGCCTGCCTTTGGCTCAGGGCGCGATCCTGGAGACCCGGGATCGAATCCCACATCGGGCTCCCTGCATGGAGCCTGCTTCTCCCTCTGCCTGTGTCTCTGCCTCTCTCTCTCTCTCTCTCTCTCTCTCTCTGTGACTATCATAAATAAATAAAAAAGAGAGAGAGAGAGAGCCGAGTGGGAGGAGCAGAGGGAGAGAGAGAGAATCTTGAGCAGACTCCACCCTCAGTGTGGAGTCTGACATAGGGCTCATTCTCATGACAATGAGATTATGACCTGAGTCAAAACCAAGAGTTGTATACCCCACTGACTGTATCACCAGGAACCCCTGTTTCTTATCTTTCTGAAATGGGGCAAAAGTAGAAGACTGAGGTTCATGTGAAATCTGGGAAAGAAGAAAACTTTGGGTCCATACCTAAGGTTCCTTTTCTCTTCCATGGTTCTTGGCTGATTCCTGATGGCTTTAATTCTGTCTCTGGATGTCATTGGTATCAGAGATGCAATTAACTTTTGACCTGTAGAGGAAAATAAATGGAGTTTAATTTTGTTTCCTATCACAGAATTTCAGCATTTTAGAATATGGCACTGAACTTTGAACATGTTTTTAGAAGAGCACAAAGAAAGAATAATATATAAGAAAGAATAATATATGGATTCAGTGATACCTAAAACCACAATGAAAACAAGACAACAACAAGGTATAATTTTTTTTTTTAGTCAGTTCCATGCCGAGCATGGAGCCTAAATGAGGCCTTGAACTCACAACCCCAAGATCAAGACCTGAGCTGATATCGAGTTGGACACTTAACCACTGAGCCACCCAGCCACCCCAATGTGGTGTATTTTTTAAACCTCAAAGCCAAAGGAAATGATAACATTTGCATGCAATTCCCATTTAATATTTCTCTTTTTCCTATGACAAGAAGCATTCAGTGAAGCCCTAAGCCCCTGCATGTTTGGTTAGGCTCACTCTCCTCCCCTACTTGAATGCCTGCATCACTTTCTCTTGATCCCCACACTCTGGTCCCAGCACCTTCTCTACATTTCTTGACAGTTGTCATATGCTCTTCTGGCCTCCAGAATGACTCATCTTCTCCTGATAATGCATATTCACATCTTCACTCAGCATGGCAGATACTGTGGATCACCTACCCCAGTCATTTCTCCTTTTTAATAGAATCATGATTTTGTTTAAGAATTTACCCACTGCTTCCCAAGGCCCTGAGCTTATGGAGAGTGGGATGCATCTTCAGGCACAGGGGGTGAGTTCCATGAGTCCAAGCTGATCCTTGCAGATGACTGATTTAGGCATGAGCATGAGACAAGATGCTGGCCAATGTTCTATGACAGGTGATCTGCTGAGGAGTTTCTTGGGAAAGGTTTCTTCCTTCTCAAAAAGGAAAAACTGAAACACCCTCCCCCCAATAAAAGCCCTAAGAAAAAGATCCTTTTTCCTCTGCTTGTTGTTATAGCCACATTTGAAGCCTGGAACTGATGTCACCATCTTGTAATGATGAAGCCAGTTGGGGGGCCGACTGAAGCAACAACAGAGGGAGCAGACTGGCTCCCTGGTTGAGCTATTGAGCTGAACTCTTCATTTGACCTAGCTCAACTGGTGAAAAGGAAATCTCCAAAAGAGATCCACCAACTCACTTTGTTGAAGACGAGGAATTTGTGTCTCTCCTGAGAGGGAAAGGAGGCTAAACAGAGAGGAAGAAAAAAACGAGGAGGAGAAAAGAACACAAAGATATGGAGAGACAGGAGCATGAGAGGAGACACCCCAATCTTCAATAAAGGGGCTAAACCCACAAAATGCTTTAGTGTGAATGGATTTTTTTTTCTCCTAGAAATCATTGAGAGAGGCTGGATTTTATGCCTGGAGTACAATGGGATGAAACAGAAATATTAGCCAAGAAACTAGTGTTTTGCCTCAAGAGCAGAAAGGCAGGGAGGTAGTGTCAGCTACCTGGTTTCATGGCAGACTTGGCAATAAGAGTCATCCAATGTTGGCAAATCCAGAGTGGGAAGGAACTGGACCAAACCAAGACAGTGGTTAAAATGTCAGGCTTGGGAACCCGGCTGACCTGCATCTGAGCCCTGGTTCTGCGAGGTCATTTAATTTACTCATCAACCAAATGGAAGTGACAAATGTGCCTACCTCAAAGTGTGGGGAATGAGTCAAACTAAATTCAATGGATAACAAAAAGGAAGCACTCAGCAGAGTGCCAGGCACAGAAAGTGAGCTTGATCAAGGTAAATTCCTTTGTAGGTGTTAGATGTTCCTAAAGTGTCCCCTTCCTGGGGTCTGTAGCATCCTCAGGTCACCCACCAAACTTCAACCTACTTGATGTCTTAAAATGAAATAGTCCAGTAGACAACTTGGAAGCCTTCCTTGTTCCCTTCCTAACTCCTTTCTCCCAGTGTCTCTCTACCTTGAATGTTTTCATGTGAAGTACAAGGAGTGTCTATGCCCACACTTCGTCGGCTATGAAGGGCCTGAGAAAATGATTCATTCAAAGATGTTGAAAACCGCAACAACTGCTTGCTCTTTTTGTCATGTGGGCTGCTGAAACTCTGAGAGTCTGTCACATTGACGTCAGAAACGGATGAGACCATGCTGAAGCTTGAGTTCACCGGTGTCTTTTCTGGAACAACCCTAGATGGAACATTCTCAACCTCGATGATGATTTCATTCACTTGGTCATCAGACAGCATCTTTTGCCTCCTCCCAGCCTTGTTTCCTACCACAGTGGCCTTCCAAAGACCTCATAGAGCAGTCACACTGGCATCGCCTGGAGCTGCCAGGAAGAGTGTCATCACAGAAGGATGCCCCATTCACATTTTTTAAAAGACCAGGGTGATATTGCCAAAGCAGGCCCTACACAGATCACAACATAACACCCCACGTCTGCACCAGAAGGGTCTCCTCATGAATAAGTGTGTTTTCCTGCAGAAATCTCTGTCTTGGTAGCTAGGTAAGAAATTGGAAACAGAATCCTTCATTAAAGACAATAGGGTTCTAGAAACAGAAGGCAGAGACTCTTCTAAATGATTCATAATCAAAGGGCAAGATTTACCTTTTTAATTTGGTGCTTCTGGCCTAAAACTTATATTTTATACTTACAATTTTATATACCTATATAAATCCAGACAAGTTTAGAGTAATAGAATTATTATCTCCTGACTGCCTTGGGTAGCCAGCCCCACCACTTGTCTCTACCCCCATATCTACTCATACCCCAAGAAGCCTTCTTTCCTGGGTAGGCACTGGGCTCACCTAAAATTCTCCTAGCTTCCTTTGTGGCTAAAGATGGTTCTGTAACCCCATTATGGTCAATGAGACATAGAGTTTTCAGGAATGCTCTTTAAAATGTGACAGTCTGCCTGGTTCCATTTTTTGGTCTTCACCATTTCTCCTTCTTATTCACCAGAAGCTGCCATTTTGAAAACAAGAGCTGCAAAGGATGGTGAAGAAATAAGCTATGGAAGGAGCTCAGTCCTTGACAGCATCCTGGGCAGAGCTGCCATATAAACTGTGAACCCCCTCTCTCCACACTTCTTGTTACAGAAGAAAAATAAATCCCTTGATTGCGAAGCCATTCTATTTCAGTGCTAGGCACAAGAACACCATTCCTACCCAACAGATATGATTTGGAAATCACCTCGGCCAAGTTGTTTATTTAGTACTTGGGGAAACTGAAGTGCACACAAATAAACTGACCTCCACTCTCATCACACTCTTAGTAAAAGGCAGGATTGGGCTGGGACTCTATCCCTTCTCCCCACCAATAATAATAACAGTAACAATACCTGCCATTACTATAAGCCAAATACTTTAAAGTTTATAATTTAATTTTTATAATTACCCTATGCAGCATGTACAACAATAAACCCCATTTTATAGCTAAGAAAACCAAGCCCAAAGAGGTTATTTGCCTAAGGTCACAAAACTAGCAAGTAGCAGAGCTGAAGGTCAAACCCAGGTTCCTCTGAACCCAAAGCAGGGAGCCTTAATCACTTCACTTCGCCGCTTCCTGTAACAAGATGCTGATGTATAATTTATTCATTTATAAATAAGTGAATATTTAAGAGTACCTACCATGTACTGGGTGCTTCTTAGGTGCATAGCATAATTCATCAAAGTGATATTTTATCAAGAGGCTGTCCACCAACTAATTGTAGGTGACTTGAGAATCCAAACCAATACAAAACAAAATGGTGAAGAAAACCAGATTCATATTTGGGTCCTCTATTTCTTTAATTATCTCTGCCTTCAGAGACTCTCCAGAGTCCTAGAGCCCCCAACTTACTAGAGACCCCAAACCTCAGGTGGCTAGGTAGAGCAGTCCAGTGAAATTAAAAACCATTTCTTAAAAATAAAATAAAATAAAATTAAATTAAATTAAATAACTAAATAAATAAATAAATACCATTTCTTTTCCCCAATAGTTAAGCCATTTTCTGCTCTCATGGGAATCAAATGGAAAGTGTGATCATTTATACCTCCATTATTCTTCCTCACAAGTAGCAATACCCAACCCTTGCAGAAGATACACCTCTACTTGAGAAGGCTTTTAGAGAATGAGGCTAAAGGCTATCACATTAGGCTAGGGGGCCAGAAGGTGAGACATGGTTTCAGGTCACAAGGCCCCTTGATTCACATTATTATAGAGAGAATCCCATCGGTTGGTTTACTCCTTGTTGCTCATAGATTTGCCTCCAAGTTTCAGCATTCTCTGGCCTCTCTCCTGTTTCTCTTCTTTTTTATTTCTCAGTCTCTGCCTCTGAGGAAACCTTCATCACCACACACAGTGATCGTTACAGAGCTTCCTAACTGATTTCATAGCATTCTTTCTCCAGTCCAACCACTCCTATACTCCAGCATCATAATCATTATAGGATTATTCAGAGAAATTTTGATCTATGCAGACTCAGAGGCCCTTGTTCCTGTAACTAACTCATTCACAAATTAATTCAACAAATATCTCTGAGCATCTACTGTGTTCCAGTGTTCTTACTAGGTCCTGGAAGGTAATTCTACCTTTAATTCTTTGCTTCCCCCTCTCCTTCCTGCCGCATAAACCAGTACATACACCATATGAGTTGGGTTTCCATCACATGAAACCAGAAGAGTCCTGATGAAGACACCTTGCTATCAAGGAGAGAAAAAAAACTCTGCATATCTAAAATAAAACTCCATTTTATAAATTAAGCTAGTACTGCATCAGTTATCACACGAGAGGCCAAAAGGAAATAGTGATGTCTGTGAACACATTCCTCTCTAGGGTTGATTTTTGGGGAATACTATTCATTTAAGCCTTACCTTCAGGTGATTTGTGCCACTCACATCCAGACAATGGTGGGTTTCCATAAACTAGGTGGGGGCTACTTTCACCCACATAAGCAGGGTTTACTGGAATGAAGAGGCAGGAGACATCACCAATTAACCCACTATATTAAATATTATTGAGCACGTAATCATCAGTAAGACCTCAACCTTGACCTTGAGGTCCTAACAGATTAATGCTTCAGTGCTTGGGTGGAAAATAGGACATAAATATGAAAATAATGCTATTAAGTACAAACAGCATCAATCAGTGGTTTTCATTTAAATATAAACCTTGTTTACAAATAATTGTTACAAGGGAATGTGACTTAGCCATAAAAGAGTAAAATCTTGCCATTTGCAATGACATGGATGGAGTCAGAGGATATAATGCTAAGCAAAATAAGTCATAGAAAGATAATTTCTTGCTTCTTTAGAAAAATCCGAGGATATGGCCATACAGAGCCCACATTCTCCCATAACCCTAATAGGCCAAATCTGAACACCAGTCACCTCATATAGGCACAGGGTGTGCAGGGTCTCATTTTTCATAACACCTAATCAGGCTGCTTTGACAAGGGATGATAATACTTATCTTTTCTAGACTTTCAATGTTCAACCTTTGTAAGGTGAGTATTTGAAGGGCGAGGAATAAACTAATTTTTCTCTTCCTGGAACTTTTAATAACTGCTCCCCTAAGTCCACTGATTTTTACTTTCTTCCCAGGATATGATCCTCATCTTAACAAATGCTTACCATAGCCATTGCCAGAAGCCCCTGGCACAGAGGCCATATTCATGGATTTCATTGCAATGTTTTCAGGGTAATCTTCATTCTCTCTCCCAACGATCCCCAAAGAGCCATCACCCCTATGACGCAATGAGGGCTGGAATGAAGATGTTCTGCTGAGCACCCTGAAATCCCAAAATGACAGATCAATATTCATCCAGTAACATAGTAAGGATAGTCATCCATTCATCATCCATGCATCCATCCATTCATTCATTCATTCCACAAATGCTGACTGAATGCCAACCATGTGTTAGGCGTGGTCTAGGAGGGTGAAAACACAAAGATAAAAACATGGGGTCTCTACTACCCTCAAGGAACTCTCAGTCCATTATGGTAGAGCTTCTTAGACACCGCTAAGCAATTATAATACAAGTAGTAACTGGTGAGTACCAGAAGACAGGCCCAAGGAGTCCAGAAAAGAGAAAAGAATTCTGGCTGGCAGTTTGGACGAAAATCTACATGAAAAAGAAACATCGAAGTGGGATTGGAAGGATAAATTCATACATAAAGAGTTAGGAGGAGGGCATTTCAAGGATGAAGAACAGCATAAATAATGGTATAAGACTATAAATAAAAGGGCTGAATATATAAAGGGAATACTATAAAAATCAATTATCCTGGAGCAATGTTCTCAATTTTACGTACATGCCAATTCCCAGTCCCAGCCCCAGACAATGACATCAGAAGCTCTGAAAATTAGATCCAGGCATCTGTGTTATTTTTAAAGTTCTCTGGGCAATCAGGCGATTCTAAGGTTCAGTCCAGGTCAAGAACTACTATGCTAGAGGTGGGGGTGGGAGGGATACGTAGGTGGGAAGATGGGAAGAAGGCAGGCAAGCTGGTCTTTGGCTGGCACTTTACATTAGACCAATGCATTCTCCTTCTTAAATGTTTGCATAAGCAAAGCAGTGCGGCCTTTCTTCCAAAGGTTATGGAGAACCATGAAAGATTAGAAACAAAGGAGTGAGAGAATCAAAGGTGCATTTTGACATGATGAATCAGGCAGTGGGGGATAAGACCAAGGAGGCCATTTTGATCTGGCTCTGTTAATCCTCCTATTTAGGTCCTGAAAATATCTGATGCTACTGCACACCCAAAGCTTATATCCTTATTTCCAAGATAAATACAAGCCATTAACTTTTGTTGAATTTATAAATATTACCAGAACTCATATACATGCCAAATGAGACTCATATTGGTTAAATTTTCAAAGGGTAAAATTTTTCTTATAGATTAAAAATAACCTGACTAAAGAACCACATCTTGTTTGCTACAGGAACTTTGAAAACTTAACCCAGAAAAAATCAGACTTGGTAGAACTAAGTCATCCAAACTAACACTGTCAATGTCCAGAACTGTACCTAGTAAAATTTGTTGATGACCAAAAATTGCTGGAAGATTGAAAAGATTTCGTTTGCATATTTTTTATTGGAGTTTGATTTGCCAACATATAGCATAACACCCATTGCTCATGCCGTCAAGTGCCCCCCTCAGTGCCTGTTACCCAGTCATCCCATGATTAAAAAGATTTTTGACAGGGGATCCCTGCGTGGCGCAGCGGTTTGGCGCCTGCCTTTGGCCCAGGGCGCGATTCTGAAGACCCGGGATCGAATCCCACGTCGGGCTCCCGGTGCATGGAGCCTGCTTCTCCCTCTGTCTGTGTCTCTGCCTCTCTCTCTCTCTCTCTCTCTCTCTCTCTCTCTGTGACTATCATAAATAAACAAAAATTTAAAATAAAAAAAAGATTTTTGACAAAATATAGATCTACAGAATTGAACTAGGAAAAATTGGACTTTGTTTTTTAGAACGAATTTAAAGAAATACCAACATTGGGAAAACTATGATTGATAAAATCTGATAAATACAACAATTATGTATAAGATCAATAAACTAAATCCGCCATAAACATGAAAAGCGATTAATTCTGACAATTATTGTTCTGACAACAATAATTACAGTAAAATAAAAATGAAAGTGGAGGGATGCCTGGGTGGCTCAGCGGTTTAGTGTCTGCCTTCGGCTTGAGTCGTGATCCTGGAGTCCCGCATCGGGACTCCTTACATGGAGCCTGCTTCTCCTCCCTCTGTCTGTGTCTCTGCCTCTCTCTCTCTCACAAATAAATAAATAAATAATCTTTTTTAAAAAAGAAAAGTGGAAAAAATCAAGAGTGGTTCAACCATCTTGAATTTTTTTTAATTTTTATTTATTTATTCATGAGAGACAGAGAGAGGCAGAGACATAGGCAGAGGGAGAAGCAGGTTCCATGCAAGGAGCCCAATGTCAGACTTGATCCCGGAACCCCAGGATCACACCCTGAGCCAAAGGCAGATGCTCAACCACTGAGCCACCCAGGCGTCCTGAACCATCTTGAATTAAAAAAAATAAATTGAGGAATAAAATTGAGTTCATGGAGTTAGATCTTCAAAATATTGTCTTGGTTAAAATGCACTTCTGTGTATAGAATTCTGGTTAAAATGTTTGGGTTCTTAACAATCAAGTCTTAACCCTACCTTTATTGACAGAGTAGCAGGGTCAAAATAGTGGGAATCTAAATGTCTTGTAGGGATTATAGGAAGAGGTTCTAGGAAGATTACAAGAAGACTGAGGAGGGTGCTATCCAAACAAGAGGTGATGACAGTTCCGTTCAAGTAAGAGCTTGAAAGCTCAGCATGAAAGTCCATGGCCCAGGTGAGGTCTACAAGTAGATATGAAAGTTTCTTACAACTTCAGATCACAGGAGCCATCATATGAGTCCTAAACCCAAACATGAACCAGATTCCATTGGCTTGATGATTTAGCATTCAGCCCTCACCCCAATGGAGGGAGATGTTTGCACTTACTCTCTGGTAATTTCTGAAGTCTCAGAAGAGCCATAATCACGACCATCCTCAGCGACTGGGTAATCAGGTTTCCCCCAAAAGTTTGGAGAGTTCTCAGCTCTGGGATAGTCTGGTTCCCAAAAAAAGTCTGGAGAGTTAGGTTGATTCTCAGCTCCTGGATAATCAGGCTCTCCCAGAACATCTACGTATGGAATGATTCTGGAACCAGCATGTTCTGGGTTCCTTCTGGAGCCTGGATGGTTGGAATTTGCTCTGGAGCCAGGATGGTTAGTGTTTCCCTGGGCTCCAGGGTAGTCTGGTTCTCCCAAATAGTCAAGATAATCAGGATTTGTTCTGGAACCTGCATAGTTTCCACTGCTTCTGGAGCCTCCAAAGTCAGAATTTCGTTGGGATTCAGAGTAGTCTGGCTCTCTGGATGAGCCTGGATGGGATGGTTTGCTCCAAGATCCAACATAATCTGGCTCTGCCAGAGATGTGGGATAATCTGAACTTCTGGAGCCAGCAAAGAATGGATTGCTTCTAGTGCCAGACTCTTCTGGATTATTCTGAGATCCAGGATAATCTGGTTCTGCTAGAGACTCAGGATAGTCTAAGCTTGTTCTGTAGTCTGCAGAGTATGGGTTGCTCCTGGGGCTAGGGTAGCCTGAGTTGTTCAGAGTATCTGGAGAATCTGTATAATCCTGAGTTTTCAAATGCCCCCATGAATGGTTCTGAGATCCTGAATAATCAGGGTAATCTGGATCTTCCTCATATCCATTATTCCTGTAGTAGGCAGACATGCTGGTATGGATTCTTTACCCTAGAGTGTTAAAATGTTCCTTCATTTGCAGTTACTCAGGGATCTTTTTTTTTTTTTTAACCTGAAAAACAAAAAGAAGAAAAAGTTCAGATAGTTTTGCTTCCCTGCAGAAATTGCTGGTTATTCTCCTATTCTCCTTTTTTTCACAGTTGGGTACACAGCTGACCAGAATCAGGACCATGTTTCCCAGCCTCCTGGGATGCACCAAGATGTGGCCACAAGAGTGGACAATTGGACATGAGCAGAAGCAATTAATATAATTCCCAGGTTTGTGCTGTTTAAGGCAAGGAGCATTTCTCCCTTTCTTGGTCTTCTTACCTACCCTCCTTTGGGCTAGAATGTGGAAATGATGATGTGCCATCTTGGGCCACAGACACAGAGGTGGCACCCACCCTAGGGGCCACAACACAACAGATGGAAGAAGTCTGATTGCTGATGACATCACAGATCAGTGACAGCATATCAGCTTGGGTTTTTATTAAATAAATAAATAAATAAATAAATAAATAAATAAATAAATAAATAAATAAAACTATCTGGTGCAAACCACTGTTTGGGGGCTGGGGAGGGTCTCTGAAACATGTGGCCAAACTTACATCCTAACTACTACATTCCTTTGGTTGTGGGGGTGGGAAGCAGAACAATAAACCAAAAGACTGGAAGAAACAAGGACTTTCTGAGCACTTTGAATGCACTTGTGATTGTAGGATTGCTCAAAGCATAAATTAGTATGAGTGTGCAAAGGAAGAAACATTAATGGTAACGAGAGGAATTGGGGAAGAAGAGAATTGCTATCACCGCTTCCAGTTTGAAAATATGATTTTGTGAGTTCTCTGAGCTCTAATCTATAGACATGGTATACTTTCCAAGTCAGAAATAATGGGATTTTAATTTCTTTTATTTTTTATTTTATTTTTTGGGGGGGATTTTAATTTCTAAGTGTGGTGAATATTTACTAGGCCATTACACATTTCTCCTTCTTTTGGCATCAATGCCCTGATTTTCATTTGGGGACCTGCCCCTCCCCATTCTGGACGCCAAGAACAGTCACACATCCAGGCCTAGACAATCAGTGTCCACTATGCCCCTGGCCACTATGCCCAGGGCCACTATGCCCCTGGTTTGGTTCAGGAATGGGCACCTAACCCACAATGGTTCCCCAAGAGCTTGACTGGACTAACTGGGAAAGAGGAGCCCTTATGTCACTAGGTTACCATGGTGATAGAATGTGAGCCTGGACTTGCTAGTGTAGTGTTCATAGGAATAGAGAAGAAAATAAGTAGAGAAGAAAATGTAAAGGAAAAATCAACAGGATTTGTGGACTAACCAAATATGGGAAGGGTGAAAGGCAAGGAAATGAAGACAAAAATACCTCCAAGTTTCAGGGCAGTGTGATTAAAGTGTTGAGGTCTCTGAAAGCAGGAAGTAGACCATTTTTAAAGTTCACCCAATGTTTACAAGTTTATCTCTACACAAATGAAAAGGGTTAGACTCTTTGTTGAGTAATCAGAGCTGAAGAATAACCTGTCACTAACTGTCGCCTTAGAATGTTTATTTGCCAACTCAGTTCCATATTCCTCAACATAATGGAGGCTGATTGTTTATTATTTTGTCCTTGCCCAGCAATCATTTCTCTTTTGTGATAGCACTTTTCCTTAAGTAATACCTCTTCTCCTCTCAATTCACATGTGCCAGGTGCGGATATATGACCTAAGCAGAATTCTTTCTACCCACAGTGATTGGGTCAGGGTACATAACCCAGTCAGAGCCAGGAAATTCTGGGAATTTTATCAGAAATGTTGGGAAGAGAGAAGCTCTCTTATGGCTGAACTTGGAATGAGGAAGTTATTAAGACTGAAGCTGCCAGTGGTCACCAGTGGAGGAGGCTGTTTGAGAGTGATATCAACAGGGAAGAGATAAGAGTCAGAGATAAACCAAAAGATCAGATGCTGATGACAGTGTTCAAGCACTTGAATCCACCCATGTCTGAAAGCAGCTGACCACTGGATACCTGAATCATTACATTCCCTTTAGAGTTAAGTTTGTTTAAGTTGGGTTTCTGTCATTTGCAAATGAAAGAGGATTCTGACTAACATGTCCAGTTTGGCCAACAGAAAAATCTACACACACACACACACACACACACACACACACACACACACACACACACAGAAACATCTACAGAAACTGTGAGTGCCATGAAAACGAAATGCCAAGTGATAATGCAAATTATTTCTGATGACATGGAAAATGAACCCATTCATTTGCTTATATTTAAGACTACAAGCGAATACATTTATGATCTAGGATTTCCATGGCCTACCAAAACCCCAGCTATTATGTCTAAGAAGCTAAATGATGCCTTTCAAATTTGAGAAAATGGAACCTGTACACATACTACTAAGAACAAGTATGTCCTCCAAAAGGCAATAAGAGCATTCTCAGCAGATTTTTATCTATAAATGCCAGAAATTGGAAACAACCAAATGGCCTTCAACAGCAGACGTCAATCAACTGTAGTATAGTCATACAATGAAATACTACACAGACGTAACAAAGACTGACCTTCAGCTACTTGCAAGACATGGAGGCAGTTCACAAATATAACAATGATTGCAGGAGTTAGATACAAAAGTGTATAGACAGAATAACATTTATACAAAGTTCAAGAACAGGCAAATTAATAAATGGTGCTAGAAGTCAAAATAGTGATTACTTTGGGGAAAGGAAGAGATGGGAAATGACATGAGGGGGCCTATGGGTACTGGAATGCATGGGTGATGGTTATGTGTGTGTGTGTGTGTGTGTGTGTGTGTGTGTGATATACATATGTGTGTGAAAATTCATCATATACACTTAAGAATTGTGCACATCCCTATAAATATATTTGTCCTGAATTTTTAAAAGAAATTGAAAATGAAAAAGACCTAAACCAGAAGTCCTAACACAAAACCCTCTATTTCCCCCAAGGGACTATATAACAATTGAAAAAAAGAATGGTTCTGGCTCACAAAGATTCCCAATTTTCTTATATGTATATCACAGAAAATCTGAATTAATGAAAGCAAAAGCTAGGTAAGAACAGGACACGCTATCTGAATCAAATCATCTATATGTGCTGCATAAAATGAAAGTGGTTAGAAGCCAGCCCTTGGCATTAGGTATAACTGAATTCACTTTCCCTCTACTGGCTGTAGGGATCTGGGCAAGCCACTTAACAACCCCTCTGAGCCTTTTTCCTCACCCATCCAATCCTGACAATATCTCATTAGCCTGTTGTAAAGAATGAAGAAGATAAGGCACATAAAGTAGTTGATACCTAGGAAGTGTTCACCAAAAAGAAGCTTTTATTTACCATTATCTGTATTTACGTGTAATATAAACTCTGGCAAGTTCCAAAAAAGAAGGGAATTGGTGAACAATTCCCAGGACATGATTAAAAAATAGACAATGATATACTTATGATAAAGTAGAGAGAGGTGCAATTCTGCATAATTCCTAGGTTGACATAGTGATTCTACACAAAAACTAAATTTGACTGTGAGCTGCTGCTGCTTCTTTTTTTAGGATTTATTTATTTATTTGCGACAGAGACAGAGAGCATGAGGGGAGGAGTAGAGGGAGAGGAAGAGAGAGAACCTTCAGCAGACTCCACACTGAGCAGGGAGCCCAACTCCAGGCTCTGTCTCATGATCCTGAGATCATGACCTGAGCTGAAATCAAGAGTTGGATGTTTAACCAACTGAGCCACCCAGCTACCCCACTATGAGCTTCTTATTAGCCCAGACTGAAAGAGAATCATGATGAGCTATCTAATACTACTTGTGAAAAAGAGGAAGTATACCAGTTTTTCAAGAGGGCCACACTTTTTCCCAGGATGAATTTTTGAAAAGAATATACCAAAAGAATGTTTCCAAAGGGATAGGATAACCATTCAAGGTCAAGACTCAAGGTCACCAGCAAAAAGTTCATGAAGCTCTAGCAAATCCAGGCCAAGTTGCAGGGGTAGAAAGGGGAAGAGACCCTGGAGTTCCCTCCAGGTCACTGTGAGATCAGCATCCCCCTTGCAGAAAGGCAGCAGCATAGGATTATTTCTGACCAATGGTTTGTGAGCATAATGATTGTGTCACTTCTAAGCCAAAGCATTTAAGAGCCAAAACACAACCTTCTAGCTTCATTTTTCTTCCTGCAATGGCAGTGAGAGTCATTTCAGATGGGAACCCAGGCATCAGCCTTGGTTTCTGCCTGACTATTTAGAGCACAGCCCACCTCTACCAACCCAAAATAGCTTCTCATAAGAAATAAATTTTATGAGTTAAACAACATATTATATATTCATATAAGATGATAGATAAATGATAGGTTTCATATGTGATCAGCCAACAATTAGTTCCAAGTTTGTTGGTACAGTTCTCTGTTCCACTGGCATCATCTGACAGGAGCTTATATACTCTACATCTTTTTCACGGCCCAGGCACAAATGGTGCTCTAACCATTACCATCCGCACTGGGACAAATTCCTAAACAAACAAAAACTAAGCCCACAGAAAAGGATTAGAAAAGAGGAGGAAGGAGGAAATAACCACAAGAAAATAGTCTTGTATTAATTGTCAAATGAAGTGGGAGTGATCTTCTGAGAACCTCACTCAGTTTCCTCTTAACTCTTAGAGAAACAAATGCCCTGCCCTTTCAAAAGAATACTTTTGCTTTGCGCCTTGGAAAAGTACAGAGGATATGAAATATTTTTTTCCCTTCCAAATTGTATTGCTCTACTAACTTCCCAATAAGGGCTATTGAGCTATCTATTCTGAGTCCTCCTTTTGAAATCCCATTGACTTCCGTCTTATCCTGGACATCCCATTTAGGTTTCCCACTTCACAGTTTCAGTGGTTTTCAATCACATTCCCAAGCAGTTATATGTCCTCTAAATCTGTTCATTGTAGACTCCCTGTTTGATCTTTCAAGGCTCCTAGTTTGAATGG